ATTTGTTTTTATAAAAAGTTTTTTTCTTTCCGAAAGGAAAATCTAAACTTCTGATAGCTGCCAATCAATTAATCCTGATAGCTGCCAATCAATTAGATTTTTCGATTATTCTCTAAGAAAACTTCTCACTGTAAGTTTAGGTAACAACTTGTTGTTTTTGTGATAGAACAAAAAGGCAACAGCATAAAACTTAAAGAATGTGTCGCAGAGAAATTCTAAAGAGTAATTAAATCATAAAGGATAAGATCGGTAGGTAAAAAAACAGAATTCCGATGTTATCCATCCACTCTCCAATTATCATTGCACTCGACATATGATGCTCATATAGAATAATCTTCCTTCTTCCGCCCTATCTGTGGTGTCCTTCAAAAATTTTAAGTTTTAAAAAGTGGAGATATATCAAAATAAGCTAAATTCTGATTTTTTTCACTTTAAAAATCCAAAAACTGTATGGATCGAATTCCTGGCTTGCGTCAGATGAGCACTTGTTTTAATGGAAGCAATGTCATGGCCAAGTTTGCTAAGCAATCGCTCAAGCACAATCGTTCCTGTCAAATATTAATACTCACATTCCTGGATATATAGTTCACTTAATGTCAAAACAGGAATCGAGAATCGACAAATTAATAAGTTTTATTGATAATTCTTGTATAAAAAAGTTTTCAACTCTTTCGACTTAAAACAAGACTATTATTGGCAAAGCTCATTTGGGATCATAGGAATATAAGATGGAGTGAGGTTGGTGATGATTCTAAAAATATTAGCTATTTTGAGATTATGTGGTATGTTTTGTGACAAATTTTGGCTTTAAAAGTCAAAAAGGGAGGTTCACTAAGTTGAACGTAAAAATTGCTTTAAATTGAACATGCTATCTTAGGGAGAACTATAAAGTTGATTTGATGTGTTTCTTTATTTGTTAGAACGTAATGCATAGTCTCCATCGGAAAAATTTTCTCACACCTACTGCATTTATCACAACAGAAATTGGATGCAATCAAAACTTCACTCCTGTGAATTTTATACAGAAATTATTATGAATTAAGATTTTTCGAAATTTAATTCATTTAAAAGGTTGCATTTCAACACATATTTGTACCAAATTAGTGAATTCCTGTGAGTTATTCAAATTCCTATGAATTCCTATCAGTTATTCAAAGACAAATTTAATAAACAAATATAACTGATTCATTGCATTCTCTTGATAGATTTTAGGGTTCAATTATGGAAAAGCAAAACTGAAGCACCAAAACCTGAAATTATATTTCTTTCTTTAAATTATATATGATTTAAAGAGAGAAACATAGTATTTCGATGGGAAAAAAGAAATACAGTGCTTCGAGTTTTTAATTTCCTAGTTCCTCGCTTTTCTGTCTATTTCTTGGAATATTTATGCTTCTAATCTTGTATATTGCGCTAAACCTGAAAGTCACTTTTCATGTTTATATCGTATACAAGCTAATTTCGAAAGATTTTAAACAGAAATAAAATTTGAATTGGTACGCAAAAAAAAAAGAACGGAATTATTTATGGCACCTAATCATAAAATTAGAGTGATGAGAAAATTCTCAGCCCTTCATTATGGTATGATAGTATGCATATGGATTAAATTATCACAATCAATCCTTATTTTCTCAAGAATAAAATCTGGAAATAAGAATGTTTTTTTTGACAAAAGTCTTGATATTTTATCGTTTTTTTATAGTCTCAAGTTTAAAATGCAAATTTCACTGTAGTGTCAGTAAGTTGTTAAATTCATTGAACACAGCTGAGGTCACAAGAATTATTTATGGCACCTTTCTCAAAACTATCTTTCAAAACTATATATATCTTTCTGTGTCCAAACTTCGTTAGTACCTTCTTAGTTCAATATAGGATCATTTCAAGTTTCTATGTGAAACGTAGCAGATAATGATTTGACGATGAAACACATATTCATTACTAGAAATCACTACACAACAATTAATAAAGCAATTAATTTGATCGTTTTCTTAACAATACTGTACTCTATAACATTAAATTAAAGGAGTTTAAAATTCCATGATTGGATTTCTTTGTATAATTAACGATGAAGTCAAATTTCGACAAAAATCAATGTAAATTAAACTTTCGTAAGACATCATGGAACAAGAAAGCACTGGGGGAAAACAAAAATATAGATTGAATGGTATACAGGAGCCGAGGAAGCAGGGGAATATCTATCATTCGAAAGAAGATAAGTTGGAAAAGATTCGAAGGAAAGAGAACAATTAGGAAACGCAAATAAAAGAAGCTGGAGAGCAGTCATGAAATTTCTAACCGGCACTGCAAATTAAAATACACGAACTGGATGATGAAGATGCTCTTCGGAAAGTTTGCATTCTCTTAGCGCCAGTTATCCCAGACCGATGATTGCCTAGCCTATAGGTAAACAAAATTCTTATATTACCCACCACTTTCTTCCTCTTGCTATCCATTTTTGTTTCGTTGTTATTTCATTTCTAGATTTCAAATAAACTTCCATCGATCTTTATGCCATTAAACTGGGCTCTGAGACCAAACCAATACTATGTGTAATTAATTTTGCAGTAAAACTTCAAAAATTAAAAAACCTTGGTATTAATTGATTTGGAATCACTCTTTCTATTTTTTATCTTTTTTTGAGAAAATCAATTCTTACTACTAAAACTTGAACAAAATTTACTGTTTGAGTCTACTGTTCACTGTCAGCCAAGAATAGATCAAAATATTCACATGTAAATCAATCCTAATAATTGTTGGGATTTATATTCTTGACCAACAAGATTAAATTTTTGAGTATGATATCAATTCAGAAATGAATCAAGACGAAAATAGTACATCTAATTTTGAGGCATTCCAGAAGTTGCCATTGATTTTCGCTGTCATATTCAACAGATAATTATTCATTGCGAACTGAAACTAAAACTAATGGAATTATTTTTTGGACCTGAATACATTAGCAATCTTGCAACATTATCTTGCGACGATTAGCCAAATAGGAACCTCCTTTACAGTTAATGGTTTAGCTGAATGTTTTTATAGCATGGCATCTAATCTACATCTAATTCCTCCAATCAGAGATTGAATGATTCTCCGTTTACTTAGCACTTTCAAATCAATTCATATTGTTTAGGGTTGCCTTCTCTTTTGTTCCATTTTATTCCATTTCAGTTACCTCATTTTCCTTTCTCACCTCAATGGTAAAAGAGATGAAGAAGTTAGCAAAAGACATCGGACTTTTCTGTAACGAAGTATATCGTGCGATTTAATTGTCCCGAAGTGCCTTAAATTCGGCTTCAGAAGAGAAATCCCACATGTGTTTACTAACTAACGGGATAGCACAATTTATCTGATCGACAAAGAAAGAATAAACAATGGTGAAAATGTCCGATACATGTAGGAAAGCGAGAAGCAGTTCATACGCTATCATGCAATTACGAAACTAGTTTAGATAGTTAACGGATGCAAAAAAAAACCTACTACATGCATAGATAATAGCTATTAATGTACGCAAAGAACACAGTTATGAATTACCAGTTATGGAAAACTTATGAATGAAAACCAATCTTCCCCATCTTTAATAATGAAATTAGCAGGCTGCAAAACTCCAGTTTAGCTGAGATAACACAACTTATGCAATTAACCGTTATAGGCCATTACCTATAATTATATTTGAAAGTAACTATCAAAAAATAAATGAGCATCAGAAATTGTCTCTACTTTCCCGAAAATCACAATTCAAGAACAGCATTTTCCGGACACTACTGATGCAATATATTTTAGAATTAGAGAAATGGCTTGTAATATTTCAAATCTTTGAGTCATTGCAACAAAAGGGAAGCTAAATAATTGCGAGTTGAAACTGAATATCGAACAAGTAAATAACTAAAGAAATGTCCAGAAATTTTTTTTTTAACCTTTTTTTCTCTTCTCCGTCCTTCTCCTTACCTCTTTCAGTCGTAATTTCAAAATTATCCGAAAGGACGCTTAAAATAAATAAGTTAAAAATTAGTTCTATTTTTGCTAAATGAAGTTATAACATTTAACGAAGAGAGCGATGCAAACATAGGTGGGAGAAGCTCTCGGAAAAATAAAAATGTCAGAAATGAGTTATTTGTGTGTTGATGCCTTCAATATTCATGCCGCCTCTAAGGACTGTCAGGCTGCTAGCATTTTTGCTTTGAATGAGTGAAAATTCGCTTTTAATTGAAATATGCAATCGTGCTTATTCGAGTCAGAAAAACCAGGAACATGATTTTTCCGAGAAAATCAGGAACTCGCTCTTTTCCTCACTTTCAATCTCAATCCCCAACGATCAAACCGATAAATCATTTATCAGTAATTAAATTTAAATAATAATTTACGATTACCCCAAACGTATTTAATTTTTGTTTTCGGGTAACAAAATTCATTTGTTCCCAATTTTTCTTTTTATTACATTTGTACGCCATCTTTTCATTTTTTTTTTGCAGAAATAAACTTATCATTAATCAGTTATGGAGTTAACTGCAGTACAAGCACATTTTGATTGGTAAGTGGCAGTGTTTCATTTCAGCGCACTTATTTTGTTTTACATAAATAAAATAACTTTACTCATATTGCATAACATACAAGTTACCTGACACATATATGGATTCTTACTTACCTCTAAGTACATTTGTCATATGCATTAAAACCTCATCGCACAAGGGTAATAAAAATGATTGTTAACAGGTTATGACAACGACTTATATGCATTAGATCAGCTCATGATGAAGTTATGTAATGTAATAAAATGAAGAAGATGGCAAAGACATCACTTTATAGAGTTCATAACGTAATGAATATAAGAGAGATTTAAATATGTTTACAAAAAATTTAGTAAGTTGTTAGAAAAGAGCAAAAGAACTGTGTAAAAGTAGGAAAGGGTGAAAGATGCATTAGGGTATGACCGGAATTAGTTGACCATTTCACATGGTTAGTTGTTTTCAAGTTTTACGATCAGATGTTGAGATCAGCTGGAATTAATTCTTAAAATAAACAACGATTTTTGCCGAACGCACATTGCAATGGAAAGATGGTGGCAGATCAAATAGCACCTCTGAAAGTACGATTTTGGCAGACTGACATAAATTTGTCACGATAGAATATTTTCAAGAATAAGTGAAGGAGAAATAACTTGTCATTCAAATAATAAGCCTACTAACATTAAACAATAAACATTTAATTAAATTTTTGAAAAAAGATAAAAACGAAAATAAAGTTAGAAATATTTTTTGATTTTAATAAGAAAATTTTAAGAAAATATATGCAAAGTATACATATATATATGCAAATTCCACACATACCTTCACCTTCACATTTGGCAAGGTTATATTGGTGATACTTGGCAGTTCTCATGAGCGAGAAACATAGATTTCGAATATTTTGATCAACCGGTATTACGTCCAACAATTCAAGGTGGTCAGCATCAACAGCAAGCATTAGTGTTTGAAATAACGAATTATCAGCATGTGTGAAACATCGCCTAAACTTTGAGATAACATTTATGCAGTTCTGAGAAAGACTAATCAATGCGGTTGAAATTCAATCTTTATTTGCAAGGATATAATAAAGAAAAATGGCAGTAAATATTAAGATAACATACTCGATTTCGTTTCCTATTCGCAAGTTATCGCGATCATAAACATATAGCCGATAAACAAATGATTGCTTCTCAAGTTTTTGCCATGTATCATCCCAGTAAAAATCAACCGGAATATCTTTCTGCAATACATTTGCAGGAGAAGTGGTCAGTCAGACCACTTTTTCTAACAGAATAAAATTGAACGTTTCAATGATAACATTAATCACACCACAAATTAGGGTTATTGTTGAACAGCAAGAGGAACTGGTAGTCAGTATATAATTAATATGGAACTGCAGAAATAAAAAGGTATACTCAAAAATTAATGTTTTCCTTCGCTATTTCTATAAATTCAGCTTGTGCCATCGATAAGGGTTTGAATTGATAAATGGATTTAAGATTAAGTAAAAAGATTTGGCTGAAAAAAATGGATACATTCATCAATTCTGAATGAGTAAGCAAAATCAAAATGAAATCAAGGCACTTCTGAAAATTTTGGCTCGATATTTTGTTGTCCAGGAACAAAATGTTCTAAAAATTGAAATTACGAACTGCTTCGCATGCGTTGTAATTGTAGCCATCAGCATCCAGTTTGGAACGATTTTGCCAATCTAACTCGTAAATGAAACGCTTCACTAGATAATTTTTGTCCTTTAAAAAAAGTGAGAAGAATGTTTAATTCTTTATGGAAAGAAAATATATTTACATCTGAAATTTTTATAGATCTAACAATGCAAATTTGCATTTATTCCTTCTTAAAACAACCTGCTCAAGGCTTTTATTGCACCATTTTTTGATCAAATGTGATTCCAAAATTTGTTTAGCTGTTGAGCGTGCCGATGGATCCAAATTGAGCATTGTATCATTTAGATATTGCTTCAAATGTCTATCACCGCTTTGTGCCATTCGTACACAAAGTTGCTGAAAATTTCCTATAACTCGATCAACTTCTGCATGCTATTTAAGAAGAATGTGCTTAGGTGTACCCAGAAATTATCCTTTTGTAAAATAGACCCAGAGTAGAATGAAATAGAAATTCAGGCACCATCATATCGTTAATCATCCATCGAAATGGCATTCTTCTTTCCCCCATTTGGAGGGCGAATGTTCGAGGTAAACGGTGCCACTTCTCATTGGGATAATAGCTGACCATATGAAGTATCAGCACACCCAATGACCAGATATCCGCTGAAGTCGAATAGTTCATATAATCTGCTACAGTTGTCACACGTTTCAAGTTATACTGCTAAAATAGAAACACCATACATTCACTTCCTATATTTTTAAAATTTTAAAAATTTCCAAGAATTCTCTATAAAAAATATTTTCTTCACCAGTATCGTTACATACCACAATATCGTTATAGAACTGTTAAAGTACTTCCTCAGCTTCAGTGATATTAAGAATATATCAAACTGTTTCGTGTACAGTTAACGGTTAAAACACACTAACATATAATGATGCAAATCAACAATGGTGTGGTGTGTGACCATGCTTCAGATGTACTGCATTTTACTCCTGTCGAGCGATAAACAACATTGGTAGTTTTTCTATCAGCGAAATGAAACTTTGAAATTATTCCACTTATAAATGTCAAACAAAACTTTATAGTAATAAATGGTAGACCTTCTCAGCACACATGTAATCAGGAGTCCCATCAGGGGTGCGACACCTTTCAGCCGCTCGTTTGTTTGCGACCATTCGTGAATTAATAAAGTTGCTCAATTTGACAGTACCACCACGAGTCAGATAAATGTTTTCTGGTTGAATATCACTAAAAAAGTTTTATTCAAAAAAAAATTCTCCCACGATTTATTGGAAAGCTACGAAAATACCAATGTGATAAACTTATGAATGAAGAAGACAAACTTATGAATGATATTTGCATCGTGAAGATAGGATAATGCTCTGCAAAGTTGTCGGATGATCATTGCAATTATGCGAATATTCATCGGCTAGAAATGAAACTTCGCAGATTATGAAATTTCAAAGCATATCAATTATCAATATTGATTGACGAAGTTTTAGCAAAAATCGATCTTCATATTGAGCCTATTTGTAGAGAATGATTTCGGGATCAGACACTCCTATCCGTAATTTATACGTAGGATATCACAGGAGTATCAAATAAGCTTCCAAAGTAATGCAACAACCTTTCCCTCCTTTTCACGGCGGTATTTATCAATTAGCTGTTCTAACTGATACAGTCGAGGAAGAACCAGTTGTAGACAAAGTGAATGCTCGGTGACCACTGTGGCATGAGCATGCATTACATTCGAATGACGAACTCTGCAAATGTTTCAAATTAATTTTTCTTCGTAAACAGTTTATTGAAATTGATATTTAGTCTTTTCAATTGACATAACTAAATTACTGAATTATATGAAAGATATAACAATCATATGACTCTCATTTAGGCTCTATAATTGACCAATTCTCTGATATACTCATACAAAGCTAATGCTGACTGACAGTAATTATCTTCCATATAATTCAACAATTTTTAGCTTAAAATCGATACCTATTCAGAATATAAACTTCCATAACTATCCGTCGTATGAACCTTGAAATCCTTTGTTGAGAATTCTCTTCAATATCACACGGATCACGTAATATATCATCTAAAATAGCACCAATATGTTTCGTTTTGATAACACATGGCCGAGGTTCCACATACGTGAAACGGTTCAAAGCTGGATAGAATCTTGCTGTAACAACGGAGCTGTAGCGTTCTTCAAAGAGCAAATCCTCTGGAAAGAAGAGATAGGATGGATGTCAAGCAACAAATAACTTGCATTGATAACGTAGAAAATATTTGCAACCAATTCCAAAACTAACTAACTAAACTTCATTCATTCTTATCTTTCCTCGCACAGTTCATTGAATAATCAAAGAGAGGCAATCATAGATTAGGAAAGTTCCGATTTATTAAACAAAAACTATTTATACCTGTAACGTACTTCTCCGATGTAATTTCAGTGTGCCATTCATCACGAATATCATTCCTCACATACTGAAATGATTCTTTGATCGCTCTGGCAAATCTATCCCTGATTTCATTCTTGCCCATTTGCTCAATGCTAGCCAATGCTTCATTTATCTGAAGTTACTGTTAACAATTATGAAGTAACTTCCGACTAGAACATTATGAAATTACCGAATATTAAGGGAAATGAGTCATTGTTACCGTTAGGTTTGCTGCAATCTTTTTGGCTAAAGTTTTTGGTTGCTGTATTGGAAAAAAATTTGACATCTTTCTTCACAGAAATAATTCAGCTGCCACTATCTGAAAAAATTTATTTCAAGCTTATTAAGCTTTGTGCGCGGAACCATGAAAGATTGAATCACTTTAACCGTATGTAAGCACTTTCCAGGAAGTCTTTTAAATCCATCAAAGTTTTGCTTCTTGATGTAGTACAGAAATAGATCAATCAAACGATTTGTAGATTGATCATAAAGCAAACATTAGCTTATGAAGTCCTTTCGGTTCATAATTCTTCCAAAAAAATATCAACCCTCCAATTAGAAGATCATCCAAAGATATTTTATGCACTTTCGATTTCTCCAGAACTTATAAAAAAAGATTTTGTCGAGTCTAATATTGCATATTTTCTGTCTTTGCTTACATAAATTTCTCTTTCAAATTATAACATTCAAAGTCTCTTCACATTAAGATTGTTTACACCGAAGATTCATATCTTATTTTTCACAAATAAGTCATTATGAATATTCATATTCTCTCTGATATTTCTTGTTGAATGATAGATATATTATTCATACAACGTCAATGTTTTTTTTAAACGAAATACATGAAGATCATGCTCTATGAAGACCATAGAGCTATTGTTTCGGATCAATTCAGGATGTATATAAAGATATCCGACGCATATTTCACTTCTTTTTCCTTATCAACTAATAGATCGAGCTTATCGCTGTTTCGATCCTCTTCAAGAACAAAATCATAATTGTCTGTTTACTTTCACTTGCAGTAATAGAATTTATTTCTGTTTTCAGTGTCTGTGATAGTTTAACTAACGTGTTCGTTAAACCTTAACGAGATCTTTATGAAATAAATCCATGCTAACAAAGCATTAATTAAAAATAAAAAAAAGTGGATAGATCAAAAATGATGCAATACATTGTTTTACTAAATCTCGATTAACATACATTTTGAAACCATACAGTATTCCAATTGGAGTACTTTCCTGAAATTCAGAAAATATGTTAGCTTCACGGATATCATGGATCAGTATCTATGATATCCATGAAGTTAACATATTTTGTGTAGCAAAGCAGAATGTTTTAAAGTTGATATACTTGTACAGTTTTAATCAATTGTTTCCATTATTTTCCTACTTCCTCACTTATCTTTCAAGTCACGATGTATTATTTTCAACAAAAAAAGGAAAACTTAACTATCATCCAATTGCAGGGGTAACCTGTGCTACAACCTAGAAAAATAAAAAAATATACACTTGTATGGCAGCAAAACTTTGTATGTGTATTCTAGTCAGCCTATATGACTGCAACATAGATAACTGTGGTAACATGCTCAGAAATGATAAAGTAATTTGTACAATTTCGATAATATTAACTGATCTCAACAAGTGTATCCGAGCAAATAGTCATTGTTTTCGATGAACGTTTTGATGTTCAGTCGATAATTCGCAACCAATTACTGAACTTTTTCACAGCATGCCGTATCATTGCATTGATCATTGCATCTATGTTACCGGCAACAATCACCTTTGAGTATGCTAAGTGCTTTCTTAATTATTGTCACTGTAAAAGCTTCACTAGTTAATAAATATGCATATTTTCCAAATATGCATAATTACCACTGTATATACGAATGCTATTCGATCAGTCCTTCTACACCGTATTTATTATCGCTTATGCTACAGGGCATGTAAAACATTACAAGGTACCAAAGATATCAGTCGTTGAAAACTTTACCTACACTTGACACAATTTTTTTTTAGCTATATTTTACACAACAAAAAAATGATACTAATCGATGACTTTTACAAACAAGTTTTCCTATTTCTTATCTCAGATTAATGATATGCGAATTTTGTGTCCCTAAATATTGCTTGATGCTGATAGACTTTTCATTGCAATATTACAACCATGTTTTGAAGACTTCAGATTTACAGATAAAGCGAAAGAGGAAACAGTACTGCTTATTATATTATATTAACTATAAGATTGTTTTTCCAATATCAGCTGATGTAAAGCAATGCACTTAGTGCTAAATATCAGTCAGACGGAATGCACGCTATATTATACTGGCAATAATGTTTGAAAACGAAAATGATTAAATTCTTAGATGAGTATATCTTATCGAAAATTTATAAGATTCAACACCTATTCTGTTTCAGTGATGATATGATTTGAACTGCCACGGAATTTCAGAAATTATAAAACAAAATAAAGTCAACCTTCAAAATGCATTTTTGATCAGCTACCAACTAACCTTTCATTCCAATTCTCTTAAAAAGAAGCTGACCAACAAAGAGAAAATACCTTTGAAATACCTACTCCCTCATCTCCCTCGCCCTTCTCTCCTCTTATCCCCATATTTAATAAAAGGAGAGGGCTTGAATTTTCTTCAAAAGCTCTATGGTTAAAAAATAACTTCATCATTAACTTCGCTAGTAAATATTTTCAGAAATTGACGGATGTACTGTTGAACTGTTTATCTTTCAATTATTTCCCATCTCTTCGAAAGTATGAAATGTTACAAAACGGTGGCGAAACTTCATGGATATGGTAGTTTGATTCTGCTTAACAAGTATTATCAATATTCCATAAAGTTAATTACGTATGTAAGTTAAAAGTTTTAACGCCGAACTATTAATCGGTTTCAAGCTACTTTCTTTTCCTCGAAGCGAAATATTCGAAGAAAACGAAATTGTGAATTAAAAAGTGAAAAGCGTCATCAGGTATCTGCATCATTGCTTGAATATCAGAAACTGCAAGGCGAAAATTGATTTTCCCTTTGAACGCCATGTAATGAGAAAAAAAGAAGGGTAAATCCTTCTTTCATGGATCGTTATTGATTTGATCTTTCTTGTCTGCTCAGACTATGCATGTTCAGGAAATAGGCCTTATCTCGAGCTAAGCTTTAAATGCCACCACGAACTTATGCATGCGCCTTAAACGATCAGTTTATTCATGTTATCAAGCAACAATTTCTATTTCAGCTGGTGGGATTTGATTTAAATTGGGGTCGTTATCATCTGTACGGTGTGATCGTAAACGATTCACCTGACTTAATTATACCTGCCGATACTAGCTGGGTACCTATCGAAAGTGGTTGCAAACCGTTTCTCTCATTCTCTAAACTCATAAAACAAAGAATTAAGTGCAATTCTTTTCACAAATTTTTACTTTATCTTGGTAACTGCAGTAAAACGATTTCTTCCTATTTCGCGTGTAAATGATGGAATCTAAAAACTGTATTAGCAGCTATTTATAACAAACTGGTTGATTTGAGATTGGCATTCATCTTTTAATTTATTTCAAATTTCAAGTTGTTCGATGTCCATTTCATATTTCTAATCACACTTTTCCGACACGCGTTTTTTCATTTTTCCAGGTGCATATTAGATGTTCAAGTGAGATACAGTGGTCCTTATGATAGTTTAAAAAAAGCGCAGCAATGCAGTGTGCATTGGAACAAAGGAATGTGACCTTAACTGTTAGTCGAATGGCGGTGATACGGAAGTTGAACTCTACTAGATTCTGTCTTATGCTCAGTTTATTGAAATACAATAAAGAATATTTTTAATGATCGCATCAATTGAAATTCTTATTCTACTTCATTAAAATAAAATAAAAAATACTTTTCTCTCAAAAAGTATAGTAGAGCAGTGTGTATTCGAACAAAGGGATATGATCTGAACGGTGATTTTTTCGAGATTTAACTTCAGAATTACCAGTCTCGCATTTTCTACTGATGATCAAAACAGTTCATCTTGTGTGTTGTTCAGTTTGTTTTTTTATCTTTCATCCAATTAAATTTCAATGAATTTGATGAATTGGTGGGGTAAATAATTATACCAACAAGTTCTGGGCAAAAGAGTCTAGAAATTATTGGCTTAATTACATAACGTGGTGCTAAGGATTGTTCTCTTGAATAAAATTTTTATAATGTATGCAAAGGAATTTGACAACTGTTCCAAATATGTGTTGATTTCGGCAATTATAAAAAAATTACATACTAATTCGCTTATATCAGCTTTTCTACTATTTTTTTCATTGGCTCAAAGCGCACATTTTTTTGCTTACACACAAGAAAATACAAGAAGAACAATTGCCACATTTTTGCTTACACAAAAGTACAGGATTATGGGAAGCGGATCATTCATAAACCACTAACCATTATATTCTACGTCATGTTGATACTGACGTGACCTGAGCAGACTATCCCAAATCTACATCACTTCAGCAAGCATTTTCTTAACCATAACTATTCATCAGTGAATCGAGCATAATATATTCATTAGCTTGGATTTGTTTTATATAATTTTAGCGGCTCTAAAATTATATAAAAAAAAAAAAAAACAGAAAAAATGTTGAATGTGTGACTTTTCACGATTCTCGCCTTTCAGATTCCACGTCTTCTTCTCTTCTAATATCCTTAATTCCTACTTAACAACTAAGACGAGTTCACAAAAAAACTTTCTCGAACACGCTTATTTGAAAAGTATCTTCGAAAGAAGTTCATTAAAATATTGTTTGAAACAGATGGTGAGAATTTGGGAAAACATTTGTTTCACTGTGTCATATCGAATAAGGTACGGCCAAAGATTAAGGATTGGCTAGATGAACGGTGATGTAATGTTGCTCTAGCTTGACGTGGTTGACTTTATTGTGATAGTGTTGATGTTGGATAAGGGTTTATCGGATTCTGTTTTGAGGGATTGGTAGATTTCTGAAATTTTAGCATTGTTTCTTAAATTTCTCTCATATGAAAGTTTGATTATGTTACCGTATCGGGGTGGGGTTAAGAACGCGAACAAGAAACGGTAAGTATACATATACTTTCAGATTAATGGTTATTTATGGATATATTCGACGATATATTAAAACAAGCAAGTAGTAATACTAAAAATGCGAGTAAAGAAATCAAGAAGATCGATGAAGCGCATCAAAAGACTAAAAAATGTATGGATGTACGGTTGGCTGCAGAACGGAAGCAATCGAAAATTGTGAAATCTCCGCTCGAAAAATCGAAAGTACTTCAGATTATTTGTTATCATTTTCTTTTGGAGGTAGAATAGGATAGTATTTACTGGATTTTTATTAAGTTTTAATTTCATAACTTCTTTTCTCTGGATGAAATGAAGTCTTGCTAAAGAAGATAATTGTATCGTTATACTTCACCAGGTCTTCTCCACTTTTTATTTTCAGGTTTTTAAGGTTTTTGCGTTGAGAAAATGACACATTGCTGGGAGTGGAAGGCCACTTAAATAGAATAAATTATAAATTTGCATTCACTCGAATCTTCTTTTCTTGAACACACCATTTATTCCGTGCAACATGTTCCCATGTGGTGACACAAGTGCACCCAGAACAACCTCCATCCCGCCTCTATCTGCGCGATGCCGGTCGTCGTAATTCACCCTCTGGTTAGGTTTTTTTTCTGAGTTTTAAGTTTGCCTGACCAATAGTTGGCAAAGTTTTGCCTACTGGTCGAAACTTCGGGTTAATGCTTAGTCGTGATTCGACGCTGCTGAAACGATGGTACTCTTATAGTTTGTTAAATTTGTTAGATTATGGGATTGATCTTAGCAGTCTTGATAAATGATAAGTTTTGGAGGACTTCATTATCCTGTTCATTTTCGATTGTTTCAAAGATTTATGGGTGATCTGTATAGTCACATTTTCTAATTTACAGTTTCTTTTTCTTAAATTAATCAAATGATAGTGCTGCTCGGTGCAAATTGCAAGGTAATTTCAAATTGTCTTAGGAATTACTTGGATAAACGGGTATCCAAAGATAATTATGCAGGAGTGAATTTGTGTACACTAATGAACTGGGTTTTCAGTTTGTCATTCCGAAAAGAAAAACGAAAGATGATTCGGATGTCGATAAGAGCAGAATAGCATTATTTCTAAAAAGAAAGGAAGAGGAAAAGCGGAAAGCAATAATTCAGAAAACGAAACAAAAGGAGGAACTTATAAAATTAAGATTGCAAAGTTATGGTGGAAAGGTTAGAGTTTTCTTAGGATTTTGAGGAACTTCCAAAAGATTCCTGCAGATTAATGGATTACATTCTATCAACTGTAATATCTTGGCGGTAGGATTCGTAGTTTTTCTTTTGAAGTAAAATCGATTCATTTTTATTCTATTCTTTAGGCAAATAAAAAGCTTGCTAGGCAATTCGGTAGCACTCCAATTGAACTACAACAAAAGTACGGTAATGATCGTGAACACGAAGAACACCTAAAAAAACAGCAAATTAAAGAGGAGGTCAGTTTCATGCTTTATTGCATAGTTAATAAAAACTTATGTTGACTGTTTCCTGCATAAGACAACGTAAGAGCAATCTGGGCATTTAAGCAACATGTCCTTTTATGATGATGATGCCACTAACACTGGACACAAGCGTGCATTGGTCTGTCAAACCAGGTCTATCAAACCATTTCAGTCGCTTGCTAATCTAAACTTTTCGTAGTTTCAACCGTCAATTATTAGAGAAAGCAGTATTTATTAGTCGCACAGTATATGTTTATCATTTTTACAAATAATGGATCAACAAAGCAAAGAATTAGAAATGAGATGTGATTTAATTCCTTAAACATTTTGAAACAATATGTCAAAAATTCAAAACTTTTTCATATACACAGTTAAACTCACATTATTGATGCATTCATTTGTATGATTCATGAAAATAGTATTTCTTCATGAAGTTGTTCCCACTGTTATAATGTATTTTGTAAGTATACTGTTTTGTAGGAAGAATCTGATCGTCTCAACAGTGAGTTCCGTGGAAGTGTCGTGAAGGCTCTGGAACGAAAGAAGGTAGTTGAAAAAATGGCAGGTGCATCTTGCAAAAGTGGTCGTTATAGAGTCACCATCAATAAAAAGAATAGTTTGAGACATTTGACGTGAGTTCATTTTATCTGCGTCTTCTATATGTGTTTTATGGCATGAAAAGTGGAATTAAAAATTCTCAGCTTTTTTGTTTCAGGAAAGAAGATTTTCCAGGGCCTTTCACGTCATGTGTTTTGGAAGGTAAATCGAGAAAAATTGATACGAAGGTTTTAACTAAGCGTCGCTCACCTCCATCGGAGTCAAATTTCCTCTTCCTGATGAAGAAAGTGGGTGAAATTCATTTAGTACAAATAGCTTCATGCTTCGACATTCAGTGAAATCTAACCTTTGAATTTCACTTAATTCTTGGTATTGATTGCTTTTCTGGATAAGATGAACATATGGTGATGGAAAATGTATCGTCTAACATTCGAAGGAGCTCAAAATGCTGTGCTTTGTAGGTCAACGTAAATCTCTTTAGAAATGTGTAATTCTGTTTCAGGCAGAAGCAATCCAAAATGGTAAAGCATCTCCAAGCCCACCACCCCTTTCTGCTCCATCTCTTGCGAAGAAGAAAACACATAATGAGCTGCTTCGAGGAGATATTAGGAAAATTAAATTTCGCGAGGGCAAATCAAACCCGATTGAGAGCAGTAAAAAAACTGCTATCATACAGCGGAGGTTTTTTTACTGTTGAATTGTTAATAAATCGAGTACACAAAAAATTTTTCAGTCCATTACGTTATATTTAGTTCTAACGCTACAAAGAGGATGAGTGTTATTCAAACTGATCATACCAAAAAACAAAAGGTGCCATCATCCTTAACGTCTGGATCGACGTTTACATCCCCATCACGGCGGTATCTTCCAGGAGATGTCAGGTTTGTTTGAATACTGCTTCACGTTCGACTTCTTGAACTTTAGAATTTTTATTAGTTACATGCATTTCATCTAAATATTAGATTTTTTCAATTAAGAGTAATTTTGAGAATATTGGCTATGTCCTGACATTGTTTCAGATATCAAGGACCTCATCCAGAACAGTCTCGAATAAATGTTAAGACGAGTGATCATCCATCAAATGTAGCCAAAATTAGTGTGAAGGAAGCTAATAATAAAGACTTGCAAACAAGGTGAAAATGTGGAGTAACTGGTTTAAATTCCTTTGAAATGATTATTTCTCCTACTAGATTCTATGCGTAACTTAAAATATGAGAAAAAAGTGAATTAATAAACAAGGTTGGTTCCGGCAAGGATCACTTTTTTCCTAGAATTAGTTACTTTTGTGTAAAAAGTACTGAATTATTTCACATTAATTTCTACTAAAAAGGTATTATTTTCCAGAGGACCTAGAAAAATTAATGAAGAAAATCTTGCAAGAGTTGGTGATCGGCGGCAGAATCCATCACTGCAAATGATGTCACGAGAGGAAGCTCGTTCCAAAGCCTACAAACATATACATCTAAAAGAGCCGCGTCGTTTAGAAGAGTATTCTTTTCATTACAAATTTATGTATGGATTAACCTACTGTGCAAATATTACATGTATTTAGGCTGCGTCGACTAAGAGAAGATGATTTGGATGAGGATGTTGATGATGAAGAGTATGATAGTGAAATGGATGATTTCATTGATGATAGCGAGTTTGATGAGCATCTGAAACGCGGCGATTTGGAGGAAACATTGCGGTATTTTTTTTTTGTCGTGTTAGCATTTTGCTTTCGATTACGTATGCAATGTGCTTTTTAAAGCTTTTTGATTCAAATGTCTGTTTCCAATCGTTATGTTATTTAAGGTTGATAAATCCACGCTATGACAAAAATCGTTGGAAATTGAGAGAACAGATGATTGATGATTGTCACATGGAAGCAAGTTATCGTGATATTGCTCGTGAGGAAAAGCGAAGCTCAAGAATAGGTCTGATTGAAGACATTCGAGAAGCGCATTGCGGTAAAAGCGTTATGTTATAATTTTATTTAATGAAAGCAAGTGTTACTGTGCAGTACGATTTGCGGTTATTTAGGTAGTCTTTGATATTGTATACTTCAAATGAGTCATACTGTTTTGTGTAGTATGAATACATATCTATTTTACTTTTGCTTACGCTTCGTGATATTAGAAACACTTTGCAGTTCTTAACCTGGTATCATCTTTCTTTTTTTTATTCGTGGTAAATAACTTCGCTTTTCTTGATCGTATATATGGGAGAAACATGTATAGTTATTCGTCAGAAATTTAGTTGTAAAAATTCGAATGTGTCCTCATTTTTATATCGTCTGAATGTGCAATGATTATGCCATCTCTAAAAAATTGAGTCCTATTCATTTCGTTCTCCAATGAGCAAACATTTCAGTCCTTGTGTTTTTTCCGGCGAAGTTTTTTCTGAGATTTAATATTCCTTCGTTTTGGATGTCTGTTTCTGCAAAACAATGTAAAAATGAATAGTTTTAAACATCTTTACTTTTGATAATCTATTATACTACTCATTTCCTGTCTTCGAATACTACATATTTGACTTTCTGAATATTTTTGCAACGATTTTTCTCGAGATTTGCACATGTTTTCTGCTCATGCGTAATGTGATAGCTTTTTTTTTCTGTTTTATCTTCATTTTAATGCTTTATCAGTATTATACTATAAAATATGCTAATAACTATGACAACAAACAATATGAAACTTATTCTGCAATTAAGTCTTATTAGGAGAGAACTAAGAACATTTTTCCAAGCATAATACTGTATTCGATGCTCCATTCTTTGAAGAATTTAATTTAAGGTCTCTCACTTCATAGAAAACTTACAGCTAAAAATACGTAAAACATAAGCGTTATCTAAGTTGCCAAAAAATTATCTTTTCTGAAATGATCACGATTTATCTCTTTTCTCCAGATATCGTGCTCTGGAGTAAGCGAAAGGGAATAGTAAATCGGCTATCCAGTTTGAACAGTAACCTCATAGAATTGCTTCAAATTTAGAGCATCGAATACAGTAATTTGTTTGGAAAAACGTTATGCAACTGGTCCAGTTGATGCAGCTTGGACCTCTCTGTCCATAATATAAGAAAAGAAGTGACATAACAATGAACCATCATTGCTCCGAACATGTCCTTGACCGATTTATATCCGCTTTTAAAGGAGGGGTTCGATATAACCATATCAGAAATAGGTCCTCATTTTTGGAGTCATTTTTGGGTTGTGTATGGTCACATCTTACAGTGGCTTCGGCAACAGACTTCTTTCAACAGTCAGAAAAAAAAATCTCATTCTGCATGGCAGATTAACATGAAATGCGAAATTCCGTTTATGGCTCCATCGATGGTTTGCGTTTGATACGAGTTCTTTCGAGAATTCATTTAATGCTGAAATTCGCCCTTCGGCTTATTATTTTTTGAATTTATTTGATTGTCTTCGTTCGCTTTATTGGTCCACTTCGCTTGATTCAATTTCCTTAATCACTGTATATTTACTTTTTGAATAAATTTTCTAGAGTTATTTCCATGAATTTCTCTAATGTAAATTTTTCGATCGCAGATTCTCATCACTTTTGTATTTTTCATGCTGGTAGTAATAATAACACTGATGAATATTAATTGGCATTAATACCAATCTATACACGTTTGAGGATCTGACCTTAGGCATACGATATACTGTTATCTTGTCAAAAATAGCTATACCAATATCATTCTATTTCAACTGAAAAGACTAGACATCAGAGGTACAGAAGTTATTCCTTGTTTTCAGGACTCAATTCATTGCTATTTCCAAATTTCATTTCTTTCTTCTATTTTGAATAAATAAGTCAAGCAAATCTTACAATGAACCAAAGTTCAAATCTCTTTATAAACTATGAATCATGTATTTTTCAAAAATTCAAAAAAAAAATCCGATTAGCAAACAAAAATCGTATATAAAAATATTTTCGTTTGAATAATTTTGAATTCTAATTTTATTTTTTGTCTAACAATTGTCCTGGATGTATGGGAGCAGTAGGTGATCAAAGGTGCTGGACACGACAATGACACATCCGAATAGTGGAAATTTAGGGATAGGAAAAAGGGAAACGTAATACGGGCCATGACCTAATTGCATCGCAGAACTGAATGACTAACTCTACAACTGAGCCGAGGGACTGAAATATATGACGGGTGAATAAAATCGCCTCTTCGGTTTTCTTTCTCGATTTTCCAATTGCTTCTCGGTTATAGGAATGACACGCAGATGTGCTTGTTTTCAGAAGTTTTTGTTCAAATTTTACATTTCCCCTGTTAGCTTGTGACATTTAATTCAATGCGTTATTCATACCAAATCTCACTACATTATTTTATAACTATGATGAAGCAACATTTTCATCAATTATGGCTTTTCCTTTAATTCATTCTATCTATCAATCTTTGATGATTTTAACGTTAAAGTTCAAAAAAAATCCATCCAATATTCTATTACCTTTTTTATCTATTAATTTTATGCTGAAATTTGACTAGCGGATGGATTGGAACAAATAGCTGACTGAAAGAGTGAAAACTTAGAAATGGGAGATTTAAAGAGCTCAAACTTGGTGATAAATCTCTGCGTTTATATTAAAAATGTAACCTGATGGCTTTTCATCAATGGTTTATTAGTGTATCGCATGATGTCAAAAATATTGTGCCGACCTCAAGTCATTCTGCAGTTTTTCAACTTTTAAAGTCATCATGGAAAGTTTTGTAAATATTGCGGAAGATTAGTAGGTGCTATTAAGCAGATGCGTAGTTTCATAAAATTTGATCGAATAATAAAAGGCAGCAGAAAATTTGGTTGATGGAATACAACTGGACTTGCTAATAAAATGCACCGTGCATTTTTAATGAGGTTGAATTTTAAATGCTTAATTGATAACTTGCTACAAACAACGAATTATGAAAAAGTTGATTGGTTTATGATTTATCACTGATTAATGTACTTATTATGTATATAATCATTACAAACAAAAATAACCAGGAGGTTTTCGCAATAGTCGTATTAAATGAACAAATGATGGGACAAATATAAAAATAAATGAATACAACTTGGAAATTTAATTCACTTCTTGCACTTAGTGTATATGCATCACTTTGGTGACCTTTGCTTGGTAAAAACATCCTTCGAGGATTTCTTCTAATTTTCGAAGTTTTGAAAAAAAGTATTTAATTAAAAATTGATCGGAAAAACTTTTCAGTGGGTTGCTTCATGAATCAATTATTATTTCTTGCATCCTCTTTTATTTGCACCAAACCAACGATGACACTGTTCGACTCCATTGACGGTAATTCTTTTTTTTTGGTTTGTCCTAAAAATGGCATAAATAAGATGTCGGATAATTTAGGAAATCCGATTGCAGTGATAGTTGCGGGAGTTGAGAAGTATACGTGAATTAGAAAACCTTGTTCAGTTAGTTTTTGTGTAGATGGGCTTGTTCCATTGCAGACGAAACAGGTCAACAAGACTTGTGCTTTTTCATTTGGTATCATAAAGAAGGAGGAATTTGAGGATTGTACTCAAAGTGCAATTCGGAATAAACAAATCAGATGTGTTGTTGGAAAATGGATTATGATGAAAATTGCATAGTTCTAAAGAAACTAAAAGCTTAAAGACGTTTATTGTAAAAGAAATGTCGTTGAGCGTGGAAGACCAAAAAGAAAAAACGATTTTGAAAATTTTTTGACAATTAGATAAATTGAGGTGATGTTGGCTTCCATTAAGTCAGAAGTAAATATTTGGCTTTTGGTTCCAATCATTGTTTGATCCGGATTATAAAGCAAATTGAATGAATAAAAAAGTATGGCGTTGAAAAAGACTCATTTCATATTGTGCGTTCATTACATATATTATCGAGCGAGGTCACCTAATGGAAGGTGAAATAATCGGAAGATTGCAAACGAGCGCTTTTCAGGATTGCCTCCAACACTGCTCCAAAGTATATTCTTTGACCTGCTTTTTGTAGTATAAGAAATTAAAATTGCTTCTAATTCAAAACAGAAGTTTTCCTTCCACTACTCAAAGATTGTGCATTGTACTTCATCTCTTTAATATTTATTGTAAAATTTCAGCAAAAGAAATGTGCAGCAGTGAATTTCCTGATAGGTATCCAAGACGATCCGATGTGCTTGCTTATCGATCGAACGAGAGAAGGGAATAAATCGGAAATGCCCGTCTCGGAGAGTGTAATTTATAGCGCAACAGCTTTCTGTCTTACTCAAAGTAAATTCTTGCTTTTTTATATTTTAAGCTGATAGAGAAAACTCTGCAATGATAAAAAATGAAGATATTTAGTTCAACGAACTTATCAAATCTTCATTTGAAGGGTTATCAACACAATGTTCTGATAGTACAGTATGGTCATTTGAAAGGTTTCCGAATAAGGATCTCATTGAGGACAAGTTTGCAGACATTGCTGATGGAACAATTTCACTTGAAAAATGCTTGATCTCTTGTTTAAACGGGTTCATTTTTTAATATAAAGTACTCATTTCATGTTAATTTATTTAATTAATCAAGAAGCATAATGTTCCAAATATTTGAACTATATTTCCTCACTAGTAGAAAAATAGCTCCCGCAGCTGTATCTTTTCCATTATACCTGAAGTGGACACTCGATTATGAGATATTGGGAATAAAAGGGAATTATCAGAAGCTTCTGATAAGTCAAGGAGATTTCGCTGTGTTGACAAACTAAAGTTAAGCGATCGAAACAGTGATAATCTGACTAGCGGGTGAGTTGAACGTAATATACGAAACCGTTATCAGTCGGGATGGGTGTGAGATAATGTGCGAGATAAAGAAACAGTGAGATAATCACTGAAAAAGTTTTTAACATCAAAAAGCACTTTTTAGAAAATCGAAGCAAGAAAGCTACCAGCTATTTTAATCTTTTCAACTTACAAATTTCAGGAAGCAGTGCAGAGCGGTCTTGTATAATAAAAAAGCGGCGCAGTGCCGTTATTTGAATGTATCAATTCAAAACGTTCACGATACAAAAAAATTCTTCAAACGTAGTAAAGACGTAGATTTATACGAAAACAATTGTTTTCCGGAACGTTAGTTCGAATTTGATGTTCTAGCATAAGTAAATTATTCATAATGCATTCGTATCGCACCGATGCTGAGACGAATTTCTGCTTTAACATTACCGCAAATTTAATTGATGGTAGTAATTCTATCGCAAACTCACCTTTTGTCTTCATTGTCTTATTTGTATCTAACTCCTACCAGCATCAAGAAATGCTTATATGTCAACAATCTAATACCAGTATTTTCTATCTCAGATGTTACTATGAATGTTGCACAGTGTCAATTCATTCGGATGCAGTCTTCCGGTTTCACAGATTTTTTTGACGAGCGTATTGCGGATATAAGTGGCACCACTGAATGCGAGCAATTATGTCTCATGTGGGACAATGGTAATTGTCGCTACTTTACATACAATCGAGGAACACGCATGTGTTATCTGAGTCACACGTCACCTCGAACATTGAACAAGAATCCTCTACAGAATTATGACTTAAATTTGTCGTCTGGTGATCTGGAGGACTGTGTACAGTGTCAGTTTTGCAATTTTAAGTTCAATTTTTATTATAAAGAAAATTTGAAATAAATGATACTAATTACAAACGAGATCTGATCAGGAAACAATTTCGAAAATTTCATTGCAGTCAAGTTAAAGTGTAAACCAGATCGGATGCACATACATGGTGCATCGTTAAAAATGTTTTCTGGAACACTTACGACAAAAAATGATAAAATAGTTTCCTGCGAAAGAAAATTCTTTTATGTATACGAATTCGATGCAGAGATGTTGTATAATGAATGTGGAATGCAAAAAATTGTTCGTGTTTATTGCTCCTTGCAGTTTCTTTCAAATTACAGTATTTTAATTTTGGAATTGTTTTTTCGAAGTCTTTTGTTAACGTTTTGATATCTTTTTCTCCATTCATCTTTTGATAATTTTTCCCTTAAAAAAATTAAAAGGAATGAAGGAATAAAGTGCATTACTATGATTCCTTTCAGCTTTCTCCTTATTTGACTTTTTCAAACTTGGTAATGTTAAAGGAAGGTAGCACTGAGCTCATTACTGTCAAGGACAAATTGTTAAAGGTCAGCCAAGCATATATATATATTTATTTGTTTATTTATATTTACTTCGTAATAAAAAATGAAAAAATATAAGTTCTTTAATTAATAACACCTATCCAATTTTTTTCTACCAGTTCATATGCAAATTTTTCTTACAGTTACAAATTTGTACCAATTTTGGATAAAAATGCTTAAATATCAGTAATTCTATGGCAATTTTAGAAACACGGAAGAGCATTTTAATCATTCTTTTTAAATAATATACATCACCGCACTTTACAAATTTCAGGTCATTTGCCACATACATAGTGATTTGGAAATTCTACCTGCAAATCAACGCTTGGCATTTCGTTTTCTGGTTGAAGATGAGAATGTTACAAAACAGATGTTGTAAATTTACTTCATCATTTATTATTTACGAAACAAGTTTTGAATTTAGCATTTATCTATGTTTTATGAGTTTATAATTCTGCTCGGTTCAAATTTTGCTGAATTTTATTTGATAATTTTGTTAATATTTAGCAAAAGAAAGAATTACGTTCAAATTTACAGAGCGAAGAATACACAAATAGCGTCACAGTTACGAAATTATGTAATTCAACCGCGATATACAATGGAAGTGATGGATGTAAACAAAAATCCTGCAGAAGTGGTACAAATCGGTGATGAAGGCTATCTTTTACTGACATTACATGAAGTATTCATTTATTCCTGGCTGAACTACTACTATGAAATTATAGTTATTAAATGTTGGATACACTTATTTCATGTGGGTATCTATCTTCAAGTTTCAAATGATGACAATCAATTTCATTTTCCATCATTTTAGAAGCCGATCAAATTTTCGATAATTGATTTATTTGTGCGTGACATACAAAGTGGCAGAACTTTTACAATCATAGATTCGGATGGGTAAAAAAATTTCTCAAATTTGCTAATTTTTCTCAAATTTCATTCAAAGTGCTCAGCCAAATAAATATATGCTTGTATTTATTCTTTCTTGCAGTTGCGCTGTTCCAAATGGAATGCTCAAAGGCATTTATCGAATTGATAAAAATCATTTACAGTTGACCATTGTCTTTAGTGGTTTCTTAGATGAGGTGATATTACTTGCTTAATAATTCATATATTTTAAAGTTTTACAGGATTGCGCTGAATTCCTGAGTTTTTGACGAGTTTAATGTGCTTGAGATAGTCCAAAGATTCTGGAATAGAAACCGAAATGTATTTGTTTTGCGTCGTTAATATTTCCCTCAGCACATTTTCAGACCGATATTATCTATGAGGCTTATGCTATCCCTTGCGACGAATTGTGTGATTCAAATAGCTGCAACCAAGTGAATTCCAAGAAAAACCAACAAATCAAGTATAACTTCAATAATATAACAGAAATATTTTATACGCTTTAGTTTTACTCAAATAAGTTTCAGTATTCTGAAATTTCTTATAAAATATTGATTTTAGAATTAAAAATAAGGCGCGGAAGAGGCGGTCAGTGATGGCACCATCTGAATCACGTCTGTTTCAACTTTCTGGCGATATATATGCTGTAAAATCGTCGAATAAGCTCAAACTCAAACAAAAGTTATGGAAAAGAGGAGGAAGTATGACTCACTCTTCCAGATTACAATCCCAAACTTCATGTTTAATTTAGCATGTTTCATCCTTATCCTCAAAATGATTCACACTCAATTTTATTTCTATTATTTTATAAAAATTTATGCGATACTTGAACAAATTACTTAGGAAATAATGGTGTGCAAACAAAATCAATGCTGATGCTTTACGAGGAATCATTAACAGACGTCAGTGATAGCGTAAGTTTAAATATGATAAATTTTTTGCAAATATTGGAAGTAGTAAAAGAGCTCAGATTAAATCACTCGGTCATTTTTGGAATTACCTGCTAAACATTGTTAAAACTGGTTGCTGTTGTAGGCAGAACGAAATCCCACTGCAGTAAATCAGCTCGTATGTATTACTGAAGATGTGAAGTGTTTAATAATTTGCTTGGCAATGTGTCTTCAGGCTTTAGTGTTGGTTGTTATCATTGCTATCACATATAGCATCATTCAAGTGACCGAAATAGGGCAAATTTTTATCAGTTAATATAAAATTCCAATTCATTCCTGATTTTTCTTCCTTTCTTGAAAGAAACTTTGTGTAACATAGAAATGAACAAGTAATTTAACCGAATTAATGAATATAATAAACAAATATATTAGGTTAAGTGAATGCTAACTTTCATTTAAATTAATTACCTACAGCATTGTACGAGACAACAAAGGTACTCAGAAATTGTTGAACTGAGTCAAAATATCACCAATAAACAAGCGACAATTATAAGGCTCTCAAAAAGTTGAAATCATATATGGCCGGTATTTGTTCGAACCAACGATGAATTAGCTAAATGGGAAGAAAACTTTATAAAATGAAGTTCAAAGATTCACAGGATAATTTGCCTTTCAAACACTGCCCTTTGTAGAGTAATCTGTTCTTATAGGATGCTGCCTTTTAAGTTGTAAGACATTTCGAATGCGCGTATGCTCGGAAGTTCGACTTTTGTTACTAATGAGTAACAAAAGGTACTTTGTCGTAGCGAGATAATAGAAGAGTGTTGTTTTTCGGATTCTAACTAGATAATATTTAGAATTGGAATCAGAGAATTTTGCTTGTCAAAAGAATCATTGATTAAAAATTATGTCGTGATCATTATACAACATGTTTCTCGTATAGCGTGAAATAAGGATCAGAATCAATTAGTAAATCGAATCAACAGATATAGCTTGTTCCAATTGCTGTTTCTTATTCGTGCATATTTGTAATCAGCATCAAATTAATGATTGCTCCATTCACGGGTTTGGTACCCACAACTTGAAATTTTTTGGCTTAATAATAATGAATCAAGTGTTTTTTCCAAGAATTTCGATACACTCTGTAAAATAGGGAATCTGGCACCTTGCTCTGATATCATTGTGGTAATACAACCATTCTTGATTATATACGTATCTCGATCAGCAACAATTATCGTTATCGAATCGTCTTCAACATTTACATTACGCAGAATGTATAAATTTCCAAGGACAACAAACATCAGGACACAGAAAGAAACAATATTTTTGTATGTTACTAACTGAAACTAAATTTAGTTTTGATCAGTTAATGTTAACTCAACTCAGCATCTGATGTTATCAGTTTACTGTCGTGTAGCTTGATCGGATGACGACGCATTCCTACATGTTGTAGTAAGCTTGAAAGTTTTGATTAAATCAACGAGATAGTACCACATGTCCAATGTCTCAGGTTAATGGTGGGAGCAGCAGAATTTAACTAACAAGCCCATTAAATAAATCCATTCAACAGCTGTAAACTGAATTACTTCCAATTGTCTTGTGTGCCCTGTACAAGTTGAGACCTAATGGCACACCTTGTCACTCCAGAACCCATCAACTTTCCCTTTTCTTTTACCCCTTTGAAGATTTCCACAATATCATTCTGTATGCAAACTTTTTCATTAAACAAAAATTATGATGTAAATGATACCTGACAACGAAAGGTATCAAAGATAAAGGATGATACAGTAGCCAATAGAGATAGCATTGTTGAAAATAATTCCTTTGCTAATTTGCAATTTAGATGAATCATAAACATTGTTTCTGGCTGACATGTTTGTTGGAATTTTGTCACTACTGGAAATTAAAACATCATTTAAAGGTGGTAATAAATCACAAAACCGCTTTCAATATGTAGTGATCTTTTGAAGAAATTAAATTTTTGTTAAGGAAGAATCCGGCAAGCAAGCGTTAAAACATAAAAATGTTTTCTTTATTCTCAAATAAATGTGCTACACTCATTTGCCGTTATGTGGTTAACATATTTTCTTCGCATGATAATTTATGGCATAATGAAAATATTCATCGCCAATTTCATCCGGAAATTAAATTATTTCGAGCCTTTATTTAGTTCCTTCATTTTTGCCATTTGAACTTTTCAAATGAAATCGGAAAGATTATAGAACTATTAATGTTTAAAAATTTTTACAATATTCATCTCACACAGTAAGCACTGCACACTTTTTGACTGTCTCCATATAAAAGACGAGGCTCAGCTTTAGATGTAAATTTGTGTTCAGTGAAAACAATATATCCGTTTGCTTCCTTTGATTGAAAAGTTACTGTAGTTGCATAGATTTGAATTAAAGAAAAAAGCTCAATTTTATTGATCCGATTATTCAATTTATTTGTACGAGAAAAGAGGAAAAAATGTTGTCTTTTTTGAATGGAATCAAACATAGTAACTAACGAGCAGTCCTTAAATGGATTTAAAAGCAAAGAAAAATAATCCTAATGGAGAGATTGATCTATTGAGGTGCTGTCTATTATGCATTCACTTCATGAGAGAAATTTTAAAACCGCACCATAATGATTTCGAAAATGATAATAGAACGCTTAAACATTATTTCGGATTTTTCGACGCATTCTTTGAGATTCCCATTCAGGACTGCTTTTCCATATCAATTACTTTCTCCAAATCATACAACCGGGATTAGTGTTCAGTTGTAAAAGGATAAAATTAATAATAGAAGGGTGCTCAAATGAAAGGATTAAAAAAAATTGGGGGAAGTGGGAAAAATTAAGTTCGAAAAGATACCTTGCCTCATGACATTCATCAATATAACTTGCTTGGCTGTTACAACCAATTAGGTCCTGATGCATTAACAATCTGGGCATAGTCCAAAGCATCATAATAACCATAAAGATTGACAAGATGAGAAATGGTAATGATAAACGCTGCACCCACCCATAATTTTCTTAGGATTTCCATCTTATCTGAATAATACTGACTGTCGGAAATCAGAGATAATCTTATTAAACAATTAATTGCGTCTAAATAATCGAAGTATTGCATTCCAGAAAATTGTTCTAAATTTGTCGTTCTAGAAATCATTCCTACTACAGAGATTACCCATAAATGCCTCAATGTTAAGCTAATCCTTTATTCATTTTGTGTTTTGTCCGCCACTACTTGCAAACGTTAGGTACCCTTTGATCACAGAGCGCTTTTTGTCTCCATGGTTCTGCGTAGTTTGATTACACGTAAGGGCGATATGATCCTTGGATTACCATTATCATCGGCTTGTCCTTATATGTTCAAACGATCCTTTCTTTGTTATCAGTTTTTACTATTAAGTGATTTGCTAATTAACATTACTCTCGCCTTTGTCCATTTTACCGTGAATAGTACCCGTCAAGCACCGTCAAACTCAAAAGCAATATATAGCTGCTTAATTACTGACAGTCAGTTTTTTTCCTACCCACCAGCTATAAAATCTCTCGGAACCAGGGTGCAGTCCCAACTATTCGGCAAAAGAGAATAGCCACGGAATCGACTCAGTTACTATATTGCTGATAATTGTATTATAACGTCAAGAAAATCTCTCCAAATCAACTAAGCCTTCAATACAGTTTGATTGCCAAATCCAAATCTCTCCTATAAAAAATTTACAATACCGACCATCCTTTCTTCACTCCAACAAGTACATTCATTCCTTAATGAAACAAGAAAACGCTTAGATCACTTTCTGGCGTATTGAGAATGCGACAAGGAAGACAAGGAAACGCTTACATCACTTTCTGGTGTACTACGAATGCGACACGAAAGACAGTCAATGACATTCACTCTCCACATTTCATCAATCGGTTCTGAATTTGAAAATTTTCGATGGAATTGTATTACTGAAATAAATAGCTTAAATTCTACGAATATCATGAGATGTCCAAATTTAGGTGAATGCCTTTTTATTCTGAGACCTATAGCGATTACAGTGATCCTGAGCTTATTGAAATGAGTGGTAAATTAACGAAATTACGGAAACAGCTCTCAGATTTTGAAAATTTAAAATCACCAGAAATTTTCATATTGATCTTAAATGTTCGAAAAGGTGCATTACAAAGATTATGTTTCCGTAAGAAAAATGGAAATAATGCATTCAACAGCAGGAAATTTGTAGTATGCAAATTTAGCGATCAAGTCGTTTAAAATTAATACAAAATTTGAGGACAACCAGTTTAAATTTGAATCAAAGTTTTAAATTCCAACACCATAATTCGAGAGAAAGAAATTCTCAACAGAAATAAAGTGACTACATTGAAATGTAAAAAATATAAGTCATTATTTTTGAGATGAACCAATGCATCGATCATTACTATACAGTCGCTGACCTGCATATTTTAACTTAATGGTCAACGGTGGTCCACTTCTCTTCATTAATGACTATCTGTTTAAAATGATGGAAGCTTGATATGTCATTTTATTAATCTACCAATCACCAATCATTTTATCAACGATGCATTTCGATAAGTGATTGTTTTTTGTGCTGCGCAGTTTTTATTTCGATCAAATAGATATGTCATTTTAAACGGTAAGCAATTTGATTTCAAATGTTACAGAGGTTAAGAAGTGGCAATTTTCAAATTTCCATTACATTTCTGATATCATTTGCGCATAGCTTAATTTGTAATCGACCTATCTCATTTATTTTAATTGAGGAGTCTTAACATTCTTTTTCCATCAGTTCCAAAAAATTTGCTAAAAGTCGTGCTCATATTATGAAAGAAATTAAAATATTTCTTTATGGCAATATTCAGAAAAAGATAAACGTTTCTTCATTTTATACAATACGTAGAACAAATTTATTTTCAAGAGAAGACTTTACTTCGATTTAATATAATTAATGATAATATTTCATTTACATATACATACACTTTTCCTTCTTTCGTATGTTTTAGCACGAATTTCGATGCTAGTATTTCATTACCTGAAACATATATACACTTAAATACTTTTTTTTGAGAAAACACGGTGAATTCTAATAGGTCTCGCCTTTTTCAAAAAACCAAATGGTACAATAAAACTGAATTTTAGTTTTGATATTAAACTTTACGTATTATTCTGAACAGTTAATTATATTCAATTCAGCTAGATTTCTTGAAAATTCAATGTTGGCTTTACTTAAATCGAACAACTTTTATGCATTTGGAATATAATAAATGGAATGAATAAAACCGGTATAAGTTAATTGGTCGCCCTAAAAGGATTCATGTAAAGTACTTTTTGACGAAATATACAAACGGTATACGATCGACGGCCAGTTTTCTTCTTATTTTTCAGTACCAAGATTTCAATTCGTTCACAAACGCAAAAAACGTATGTAAATAATCAGATACACGAATAGCTTTCAAAAACTATAAGTAATCATTAATGCAGAACTTTTCCGGTTATGATACTTCAATGAAATCATAGTAGATTGATTAAAAGATAATTCTAAGCAGAACTTACCACAACTTTAGTTTTAACATTCACCACTAGCTTTTAAATTGCATTTTCGGTTCAATCATCTAGAGAAATTGAACCTTTTGAGGATTTTCAATAAGCATTTTCACGAATACGATGACATTATCCAAATCTTTAATCCAGTGTCTTGTTATTTTAGTTTGCGTAGAAAACGACCATGGGTTTTTTAGTGGTATTATCCGGGATTCAAAGACGAAAGTAAATTTCCGATTTCATTTCAAAGAAGGTTCAAAATTACTTAGTAAGCTTACATCAACTTTGAGCTACATACAGGACACTAGTAATTTTAGCAACAAATATGAATGGGAATATGCAATATCCTGACAATTTAAAATAAAACAAAAATTGTTTCAGAAAACGAGTTTTAATACTAATTGCCCTAAGTCCATGATAATTAATTAGGAATAAATATTAATGTCAGCTTATTATATCATAAATACTTCCATCACTTTAACAATCTAATCACGACATACAGCAATCCAAGACAGAAAAAAAAATAGGAGAAGGCCACGTTCATTTCCTTCTTATCCTATCTGTACAATCTGTTTTTGATTCTTCAAAACCTCTTTGATCCATCTTTGTCGAATAAGAAATCATTTATGCAAATCTCTCAATTGTAGCCCAGCTTGTCTGCTTTGTTTAGAATGTTACAGTTTGTTAAAAAGAACATGGGTAATTAAGTTAATTAAGTTCCAGATTAAAACTTGGAAAAATCAAACTAGTAATCCCCAGTTATAAATTTACAGCTGGAGTTCAGTACTTGTTAGACGAAATTACCGATAATTTAGGGATGAATTTCTTGTTGAATGATATGAAACGCAACAGTTATAGTGATCTGAATGAAGATTATCATAAAAAATTGTAATTGCAAGCACCATCTGTTATCTGGCACTGTTATCTTTTTGAATAGATTTTATGTGAACTGTTACTTGGCAATATCTTAATTTGGAAAGATAATTCTTTCTGACATCTTAAACATAATTTTTTCGTATAAAATTTTCGTATAAATAAAATGAAGATTCAAGCTTTTATGAATCATTTAACCATATTCCATAAACTCGGAAAGTCCTTTTTTCGTTCTAAACTTCCATTCGTGCAAAATATTCTTCATAATTTCAATATTCCTTCTCTTTATTATATGAATTTCTGAGAAATTAATACTAAATGTGATAATTTTAGGAAAATTTTACAAATATTCGGTTGGATAACGCCAGCAAGGTACAAGCGTGATCGGGTGAAATACATTTGACAAGGGAGAGTTGTGATTACTATGCAACATGCTGCAGCTATTAATGCGAAATTTATGGGAAAAGGTACTGATGACGAGAAATCACATTGATATGAATGACTGTTATTAATTCACATTCATTAACTTACCTCAAGTTTTTAGTTGAAACTTCCTTACCACCTCATCGGCAAAATTATATAAACAACAGGGTACTACCGAATGTTTGCGGCTATAAACGGTGATGTAAACGTCATGCCTAATCCAGGCATTATTTCATTTTTACATTTGTTAAGTTTAAGTGAGGAACAATGGCTGTCCTGCAAACTTTCAACGTTTAGCGTTTCTTCTCCATGGCAGAAATAATTGTTTCTAACTTGTTTAATGCAGTTATGAAAACGACCCATTCTAAAAACTTGATTTTCTCGAAAATGGATTGGAATTCCTATTTTCACGAAATGTAAATTTTGCATCGAAACTACTCAGGGAGCTCAAATTCATGACTCAGACTATAACAGGGCATGCATGATTTAGAGGCATCGTAAATGTGTGAATTTATGTTCGTCGTGACAATTGTGTTGCAAATGAATAAAAATTAATGGATGCTATTAGAAAATTTTTGTCATAATTCTCTAATATTTCACAGTCCAAACTAGCTGCCAGTCTTCTTACTCAAAATATTTGGATTTCATAACCCACAAACTATTCGAATCAAAATTACACCACAATCAGTTCAAAAGTAGATCGGTGATATTTAGCATTCAATAGGAAATGCTACAACAAAATCATGATAATATTTCAACAGTAAAAAATAGTAGCCATTTTTTCTGATGTGAATGAGCTATGTCCGATTTCGGAACGAAATGCATTGATAGGAATGAGAGTCCACGTCCCTTTTACTAGCGAAATTAACCCATTAACTGATAAAGCTCATTTAATTTGACTATGCCTGTAATTTTATTTCAAATTTAAATGTGAAAAATACTTCTATCTATCTGAAATAAACATCGGTCTACCTAATAAGCGGTGTTCTTAAAGATATATGAAGTATAATTATCAACGTCCTACAAACCCAATCATTGGTACTAATTGCGAAATGCATGAGACGCAAAAATACGATGTTGTTCAGGACGATGAATGACTTACACATTAGTTATGATAGAAGTATTTTACCATAAAATGGTTAATATAAATTATAAATTCCTTTAGAATAAGCAACATCTGTTGGTTTGCTTTTTTGTACAGTCTTGCTATCCTGCAGGCTGAATATTAATGAGAGCATTGGACTCTTTTCCCTCCCATTAACTAATCGCCATTCATGCCTAGCAAAACATGTTTGGAACCATCCTCAATCATGTGTAACTTTCATATTTCTCGGTGCCGTTCGCGACATTCCTATCATTCGGAAGATTAGTAATACGTTAACCATAACCTCATCTACACCGGATTTATCTGATGGAGAGAATTTGTTGTCTGTGAACATGAATTTCATCATCCCTCGTCCCTACGATAAGCATTTACTCCATCACTGATCACATTTTGCTTTACTGACTATCACTTTCAGAACTATCATACTGGTTGGAATAGATGTAGCTCTTCTGGTCCGTGATAATACGGCCCACAGCAGATTATCATCATACTGTAGTTCATGTTTACTTCCTGTATTTTGTACCATAACTACCCAATTACTCATAAAATTGTCAACTAAAATTAAACCAAGAGAAAAATATTTTAAGTTTCTTAACATGAATAAGCATTGAACAATCAGCTAAAAATTGATAAAATTCACCACTCAAGTTAACCAACACAGCAAATGCCTTCAGCGGTGAGCAATAATCATTCAGATCTTTTGATGATCTGCTTTCACTTCCCAGTAAATTCCATGCTTTTGATCTACATTCACAATTACTTCCCTTCACCTCACGAATTTCATTATACCACTGCAGGCCATCAACAAAAGGTTATTGTTATCAATTACCTCAGCTATTAAGTGACCCTGGTATTTCAAGAACTAGTATTTCAACAGTAATAACGCAAATAGTTACTATCAGGAAAGCCTCCCCTCACCTCTCCCTAGTTCTTACTTACCCCGCCCTTCCTCGCCACTCTATCTCACTTCTTCATCCTCTTCCATCGATCTTTGCTTCCCATCCTGTACGTAGATTTTCATAGTGTCTGCTTTCCACTGCGGTTGAAAAAACGCGGCCGTTGAAACCATTGCGTAAAGTGACATGGTTCGAAGTGGGAGTTATGATGTTGAGCGGGTCATCGGTTGTGTGATATGTCTCTTGGTAGTGAGGTTGATGCTAATGATTTGTATGTAAACTTAGTAAAGTTGTGATATACAACGTTTCTACGTGTGTTAGACCAATTCCGATATATTGGAAATTGAATATTTGTAACCTCTGGCTCTTTTACAAAAATGCCTCACTTATGGGCATTGAAGTTGCAAAAATTCATTGTAGTTCGAATATTTAAGGCGTGAAACGTAATCTACTGCAGGGATTGCCAATTTTCTGCTGAAATCCACGAAGTGCTTTTGTAGCATCGGTAAAAACGATAATCCCTCTTGAAAAAACAACGCATCTTTACTGTTAGTTTTTAAATAATGCTCAATACATAGCTTATCGGTATGTTGGTTGAAATAGCAAGCCTCATTTTACACTTCCGTATATTGTAGTATATGTACCAGGCTCAAGAAATTTTTTCCTTTTGTTGCGTTGACTGAGATAGGTGAGATAAGTACTATAAAAGTGATTTGTGACGAAAATTGGAAAAAGAAAAGTTAGTAGAGTCCCATTCAGATCAGGTACTCATTCTGCTGCTTCACTCAGGAACGATAATTCTGCTCAAAACTTCCATGTTTTCGAAATAACAGTTTAAAAATCTGTATTTCAGACTGAGGATGGCAATCCTACTGCATTATGCCATTTATCGCATTAAAGGATCCGACCGAGCAATCAGTTTTTTGATAAGTTCGCGTCTCCTTGTTTTTTTTCGAAGTTATGTTTCTCTAACTTCAGTTATTAAAAGTTTCTTTGTTGTGAAAGACTTGCACCTTCTAGGACCGCGGCCGTGTTAATCGGGAAAAGCAAGTAGCAGTGTGTTCGAGTTTTATTTCACTACATATCGCTTTACTTATCTTTTCTTCTGGTTAGCGGGCCTTCAGCAACCGATGATTGCGGCAGAAGAGGAGAGTCTTGCGGAATCATTTATGAGCAAGGTTTATTTGTTGTTATTCTCTTAAAAATTACTATTTTGCTGCGGGAAACTACATCTCTATTCTGTCGTTCTAATATTTTGCATAAGAGTACATTTAAATAATTAAAAACTGAGTTAAGGGAATTTCCAATCCAGGTAGAAACTATGGAGCAAGAAGATGGTGAAGTCAGCGATGCGTCCAACTGTGATGTGAGTTTATTTTGACATTACTAAAGAAAGAGATTGTTTGGTAATTTAGGGCTCTATATTGTTTATAAGATTGTTTTTTCCAATTATAAAAATGTTAGAACAATGTCTAATTTAGACAGCGAATGATGAAGGTGAAATAGTGGATCAGCAAACGAGCAAATCAAACCATAAAGAGGATGATATGCTACTAAAGACAGACGTTAATGTTTCGAAGAAAACAGCTCTTGAAAAATTAAAGAATATGAGTTTTAGTTCCAGATCGAAACTTCCTGTACGGAGGTTAGTACCATGTATTTTGATCAATTACGATATTTCTCATAACGTATTTCTTTACTTTTTTTGGTGAAATTCAATTTCACGAAAAGTTAATTTTAAGCGGTAAATTCCGGTAAGTTTTTTTCGTCTTTAATTTTTTCAAAGAAATTGTGCTTTTTTTGCAGTTCATCAGTGGAACGACGAGAGAGAGAAAGAAAAGAACGACAAACTCTCACGTGAGTTACACATGTATAGATTTTCCATTTTACGTTTGCTTTAATACCTTTCGAGAAAGCGCAAAAATTAGTGATTTCAGAATATCGAAACTGCAACATTCACCTCGTCGTGACAACGATGAAGAAAGACGGCAAAGAAAAAGGCGTTGGGAAGAACGAAATGATGAGGTACTATTGTTTATCTCTACTTTTTTAGCTTTAATATCGGAATTTTTGTAAGGCCTATACTTAACCTCCATTGTCATCTATATTCCCATAGAGTTTGACAGGTGACGTCATCCGTTTGTGATTTATCAATGTCAGAAAACGCTAAGCGTATTCTTGGAATATCTTTTTCTTTTGACTAACTTGCTAGTTGTGAGGGGAAAGTTTGTTATGATAGTTATAACAGAGGTAGTTACTGTTAACTTCTCATTATGTTTTTTAGCAGGAACGTCATCAGACACTTGTTGAAGAACGACCTAGGCCATTGAGGGAGGCTGTTGCTGCTTCCCACGCGACACCATTGCCAATAAGTAAAGCTTTGGACACAGCTCGTCCTAATGATCAGCCTCATACTTTGCGTCAACGCGTCGAAAAAGTCATCAGTGTCCAGGAGAGCGAGGTAATATTTCTTTGCTGTGTGGATGATTTCCTAATTATTTCTTTTTTACAGTATTTACTCCAGGCTATTAACATGTCCGACAAAGAACTCAGAAATTTGATAGCACGAATGTGTGAACTCAGTAAAGAGCAGCAACGATTACAGCGAGGTCGACAAACTCAATTTGAGTAAGTGGTTTAACATTATGGGTTTTGCCATAACCCATCGTTTTTAGTTGAGAATGTAATGAATTATCATCTTATGTCATAAATCATATTTTATGTGTTACAAATTTGAATTCTATTTCTAAAGTATACCGTTTTCGACTCGTGGATGGATTTATGGACATTTGCCATTTTTCTACGTGCATTAAACAACAGTGGTTGATTTGTGGTTTATATCCTTATACATTTTCACAGTACACTACGAGAAATATATATGGAGGTAAAGGATGATATTGAGAAACTATACATCCGCGTTCCGGTGCATTTGCGAATGGATCTTCCGCTTCCACCTCAAACCCTACATCCTTCTGCTTCATCATCTGGCGGTATTTTTTCAATTGTATTTGAAAGTGACTATTTACATTTTTCTTAATTTTTTGCCATACTTAGTCGGAAGTAGTTATCTTTTAAATTGTCTTTCGCAACTAAGAATGTATAAAAGGTTGGAGGAACTATTTATGTAGTGTGAAGAAGTTCATAAATAGTGATTGCATATAAAGGGTTTTTAAAATCTTTGCAGGTCCATTACAAATGAACGGAGGAACGACTACTTTTCAACTGGAACAACGGTTCCGGTTACCAAGCCTTTTTGACCCACCTCAGATTGTTACAAGTGCAAACATGCGGCTGAATTCTGGTAATGATCCTGAAATCACCGTGCGGAGTGAAGAAGAATGCGCTGGAGGACGAATGGGATTCGGTGAAGTCGGAAATATCTCTAGCCCTCGGAGGGTGTTGAGTGGTGGGAATGGGGCAATTTACAGTGGTGGATTGAATGAACACGGAATGTTCGAAGATATAAGTCGAATTGGATTGGGGAGTGGTGGTACATTGCTAAGGAATGATGGTGGATCAAATCCAACTACTGCTGTGGAGCGTGCACCTCATACAGGTTCAAGTTTGGAGCCGACGGTACATTCCGCCAACCGTAAAAAACTGCCGTTTTCTAGCTTAAACGGTCCTGCCAACTTAGATCAGTCTGCTTCAATGATTCCTTCGACGAGCACATATGATTTTGGTCCTAAGCCACTATTCAACAAGTTAGACTTCAGCGATGATAGTTCCAGATTTTCTGGAAGCAAACCTTCACATGATCTGCTACCTCAGATGAGTAGCTTTAGCGATCGCCCAATGCCACTAATGAGCTTTGGTAATACAGCTAGTTCAAATCAGGTATCTCATTCCATGGGACTACAAATCTGCGACACTCCGGACAAATCAACAAGCTCAACGTATACTGCAACGCAGACAAATGCTTTAAACAAAATAGAACCTGGAGGTAAATGCTGTATGAATGCTGCGTTAATTTATTTGAATGACACTGGAATATATACAAGGGGTACTGTTGAAGTGATAGGGACGTTTTTAATTGGTTAGTTTTTTCTCAAGACTAAATTCTCATTATTCGGTTTGTATATTCAGTTCCAGAGAATGATGGTGGCATACGAGCAGTAAATCAGCACTGCTTCATGCACTCGGGATCACAAGGCCCGACTAGTTTCATCCGTCCGAATAAGACCCCTTCTCCAATGTCTGATTTTGCTTCGAATGTTTCATTGAGGTATTTTTTGCAGCAGTTTCTTTTACGATTTAGTGTAACTATTCAACATCTTTGAAAATGGAGAGAATTATTCGCATGGAATCACATGAAAGCGATAGGATTTGTATCACATCAATTATTTAGATGATCTGAATTTTTTTAACAAGCGTTATACTTCAGCTTTAATGCCGAGCCTACCACTGCTAATTCCCAATCCCATATAACTTAACTTATTATTTATATTTTTCATCAAATCAATTTGACATTAAAATAGAGTTGATAGATGGAGGTGTTTGCTTTATTAGTTCTTAATTAGAAAAGTTTTTCAGGGCAGTGTCGAGTTCAGTGGATACCGACAGTGCACTGTGTATCACATATCATGAAAGTCTTATTCATTTGAAATCGAGCGAGATTCAAAGCAGCTCGCAAGTACCTCTTCCGAATCTCTCCGAGCCACCTCCACCTTTTGGCACAGCTCCTATAAATTGTCCAGCTGTATTGTCGAATACGATTCTTTTGAATACGATGCGAAGTTCGAATATTGTGCCACGGCAAACAGTACCAGTACCAACTGGTTCTGCTCCAGCATATCCTTCAGAGCATGCAGTTGGTACCATTCAACAACTTTCTTCGACTTCCACCAGTGTTTTGCCTGGGAACAACAATGCTTCACAGAATTTACAACCACAACCCGGGAACGCTGCTGTTGCCGCTGCACAGCCATTAATGTCATTACATTCCGGATCATCTACAGTTAGCGTTCCACCTCCGGACTTTTCGGTTCCTCCACCAATAGCGCTGACTGCAAGAACAAATGTTGCTACATCTATAACTACTAATCTATTAAATCATATCGAGCCAACCAGTTCAGCTGATTCAAGGACAGGACCTTCTTCAAACCCAGCTGTCCAGAGAAGTTTGTCACATATGAAGGGAGGAGTATTAACGAATAGTACTGTACTGACTGGTTTACCTTCAATGAATATCCCACCACCTTCCTTTACGATACCACCTCCTCGAGTACCAAATGTCGGCCCCGTATTTCCTACCCCTCCACCGATGGCTGTTGGTGGAATAACTTCGGGACCGAGACCTAATTTGGTATCTCCTATGGCTGCGCCACCACCAAATCTCATGTCAGGACCAATAAGTTTAAGCTGTCCACCACCTGATATGTCTCAACCTCCTCCTAACATCCGTGGTACGCTGAGAGCGAGCAATGCAGAAAGTGTTCAACAGATGGTCAATGCGGTGGTTGGTCAATCTACCGTGAGTAGCCAGACACCTGTAGAAGTTGTAACAGAATTAATTGCAAATGTTTACAATAGAGCTGGAGGCGTCAGGCTTCACCACGATGCATCATTAAAGCAGCGAATGTCAGTGGCCACGGAAAACACCGCCATGATGAACAAAATGAGAACTCCTGTGCCCGCCGGACCGCCAAGGCCACTTTCTTCGGTAGGTAAGCTACCACCACCGCTCATGCTTTCAACTGGAACTCGTGGTGGTCCGGTTTCCAGAATTTCCAGTTTTAACAAGCGAAAAGGATTACAAATTCGACCGTCATCAACTCGTTTGCAACAGCGTCAAAAGCGACAAATCAGCGATATGGTAGCCATCATTCCGGATGAACATGGTAATTAAGCTGCATTATGGTATTATTCCTCGGCAGATCGAGTAGCAAAACTGTTATCATTTCATTCTTTGTGGAACATTACCCCAGAATTTAGGGTTTTTCAGTTTTCGATTCATATTTTCAATTTGTGGGAAACAAAAAGGACAAATTTCAGACCATCCCAGTTCACGCGAAGAGCCAGATGACAATATTTTTCTGATAGTGTCTGATGAAGAGGATGGCAACAAGTAGTGATACAATTGGAAGCCATCACTTGTACATCAGTATTTTTCACACAGATATTACTCTTTGGTAGGAATATTTCTAGGTTAAAACATCTAATTGGACGCCTAAACGTACCATTTCGCAGCCAAATCAGCCGAAGTGCTCGCTAGATTAGTCATCATTGTCCATCGTTAGTTACGGTTATTATAATACTCTTGTTATTTGTATCCATTACCTCACATGAAAGTAGGTAAGTCTTGTTTCTGAAATTTTGATTGAACAAATAGCAGTCGCAGAAAATAGGCGATATTACCGTATTCTAATCCGTTAAATTTTAGTAATTAATCGTTATTTGTAGACATGATCGTCATTTATAATTTTTCTTCCCCAATATATTCTCCTTCAAATTGAATTATTCCAAATACCTTTTTCAAGGTATTAGAAATAAGACTAACAGTAATAAGGAGTATTGTGAGTATTTTGAGTAGCTTTTGTTTTAATAATTGTATTTGGACAAGTCGTCCATCAAAGCGTTTTTTCTTTACAATATTGTTTTAAAATGAATCATTTAGTATTTTTTCGCTCCGCTATTTTGCATTTGTTATTTGTTTTTATGCTGGTTCAATTTGGAATTGAAATAGTAGTAACTGTTCTAAATTATTTCTTGAAGATTTTAGCAGATTCTGGAATTGCTCCAGCACAGTATGAAGCTAATTTCAACGTCTAAATAACGAAAACCATATATTTCTAGATTTATTTTAGTTTTTTTATTTCGATTCGTGCATTTTAAAATTTCCAGGATTTCTTTTTCATTATTTCGTAGTTATGCTTCTAATTTTTAATATTTTGGATTGTGAATGGGTTTTTAGAAAGACCATTATTTGTTTTTGAAACAGCATCGACTGCTACAGCATCAACAGTCGACAGTTTGCGACCAAATCGACTCACAATTTTATTTTTATTTCGTTTCCCTTTTCTTATCATTGGTCGTATTAATAATTTTTGACGAAAATTGTGTATGACACATCGTTTTATCATATTGTGAATATATTTAAACATTTCGAATTTGTCATTTTGCATGTTGTAGACTATTCCAATTCGACATTTTCGCTTCGATATGAAGTGTTTTTTTTTGTATTTCGCCTTTTATCACACAAAACCTTCCACGAAACCCGTATCTGGATACTTATTTCAGCACGGTGTGGAAGTGGCAACGGTTGGACAGTTTCGAAGCACGGCGGGTTACGTAGCCCAGAAGCTTCCAAGCAAGCTGGAAATGTGGTGCCAGGTGTTGATTGGTGAAGACCGTACGTCCAAACCACTGATGACTTTTGACCGATGAGTATAGATTGAAAAGAGCGATTTTAACGACTGGCAGTGTAAACCTTTATCGGGAGATTTGCAGAAAGTTCTGTCGGACTTGCAAAGGTGCTGACATCCAGGGGGTTATGTGGTACTAGTGACAGTCCAGGTAGTCACACAACACAATGATAACTTATTTGTAAGCCGTATGTTGTTAAGATGCTGGAATAGTTCTGTCGTCTGGTATTTGGTTGATGGTTCACCACTTTGGATTATGACGTAAATACCCGTCTCTTTCTGTTTTCTGTAGTGGATACGATTTTTAATTTTTATCACATCATTGTGACCTAATGAAGGGAAGCAAACCATCGGTTAATTTGTAAAGTGATCGTTGATCTTTCACAAAAGGCCTTGAGTCGTCATCACTCAGTAGGATATCCAAGTGAGCTTTTTTCGCAAGTAACTCCATTTCGTTCTCATAAGTAGTTGAAGTACGTTGTCCTGTTTGCTCCTTCATCTCTTAAAAATTGTGCTCAGGAGTGCTTCATTTGTGTGTCGCTTAAACAAAACAAACTTTGAAGCACTTCTGCAAGGGGAATAGACGATTTTCTTTAGACTATGTGGGAGAATAACATTGAGGGTGGGGAATATTTGCGTAGAATCAACCGGTTATTTAAGATAGGCAATGGAGGCGGTGGAATAAATTAACCTTTACATGCAAAAAAATATGAATGATATGGCGGAACTTGTCGTTTCGCATATCTCCCATCATACTTTGCATAGGGAGATAAAAGAAGGGTCACCGCTCTTTCCCTCTTATATTCCATATCGTCAATGATTCATTTTGTACCTTTTGGGACTGATTCGATTATTATTACTCGTAACAGTGCAACTCTTCCAAACTTTGTTTCGGTTCCGAAAAACCTGAAGCTTTTACCCTTCATTTCTATTTTTCCATAAATGCAAAAAGTTTTCGTAGTATTGCACAATTAAGACCAAAATAAGAGTTCCACCGGAATAAAATTCCACGAGATAGGAAGAGTAACTGTAAAACGAAATCCAAGATAACTCTTCCCTTTTGTTTTGAAATTTTTGTGGTACATGTAGCAGGAAGTTCACTATGATGTGATTTGTATAGCTGTACCAAAATAGGAGGGAAACAATAGGTGTCATATAATGTAGCAAAGTTGCGAAAAAATAGTTTTTTTCAAAATAAGCGAAGATGAATGATGCTAAAACATTCCTAAAACATTTCTAAAAGATGCTAAAACATTCCAAAGTGTAGCAAGCTAGAATCATGTATTAAGCGGGATTCAATGGATTTCAAGCTTGAAGTTCAAGAAACTTTTGCTTTGTTATTTGACGTACTTCATTGCAATGCTCTTGTTCGCTAGCAGTAGACTTCTATATTAAATTAAAATATTACTATTTAGGCTGGCATACGTTCGTAAAGTTTTTTATTCTTCCGGTTAGGAAGTATTGCAAGAAAGTAGGCAACATGCAGAATGAGTTTGAGAAGCTTTTACGGTTTACCTGAAACCTCGTCCAGAATAAAACTGCTTTGGGGAAGCAAATAAATGAGCATTTCCGGCAAGCATTTTATTTGGAATTCATTGCAGACTGCATGAGCCAGAAACCACAACAATCAGTTATGGATTATGGCTTGAGTGTTTCTTGTAGTGGCAGTTATGGATTGCGGCTTAGATGTTTCTTGTAGTGGAATCCTCTTGAGTTCAATTACTTTGCTGTTCCATTAGTGTGTATGCTTCATCATTCTATATGCTTTCCCTTGATCCTTTGAGAACAGCGCCGATTACTTTTGAAAGTCCCCTTGATCCCAACATAAGCAGCGTCAGTTTCATAAATCTTAACGCTTCCGGAATGCAATACGCTCTTTGAAAACATTTGCAACGAAGAAAACGGACAGCAATATTCCTTCCTTTTACGTGTAGTTGGAATATTTCGGTCAGAAAATATTTGGATTGCTTACAGTTAACGTCTAATATATAATTTGCAGTGGAGAAAACAAAAAATCGCGCAAAATTTTGCACAAATCCAATATACCTTGAAAATGAATTTTGGAAAATCTCCAACACTAATTCATTAATAAGCTCAAATGTGTTGTCTGGATCTCCTGTTGTATCTGACAATTTTATCCTAGCAACCGTGCAATATCTTTAATACCTTTTCACTCTCTATGAATATCCTGTATGGGCATACAGCAATAATCCAAGAGAACTATATTGTTGCCAAAAAATAGTCACTCCTTTACCGTCCCTTTGAATTCTTGTTTTCCTGATCCAGCTTTTGAGCTGCAATGAAATACTGTGTGGAATATCTCGCAGTGTTTTATTGGGTACAGTAGCAGATTGGTGGAGCTCGTACTGATTAAGCTGGTAATGGCAGTTGTTTATTGTGTTTGGTTATTGGAGATAGGTAGGGCTAGCATGTTTCGGATATCTTTTATCTACTTTTCATAAAATATGGCAAGGATTCCACTTATTTCATCTTTCCGCCTTCACTATATCGGTAACGCTTATGTAAATTCACATGGAATTCATTCTTGATAACATCCGGCGATAGTTTTTGCACATATACAGTCTATATATGTATAATATAAGTAATCCTTAGTTTGTTATGCAAAAGTTTCTTAACATGTGCTGCACGTCACTGCAACGTTTGTGTTTATTGCAGCGTATTATTAGCTAATTGGCTGAAATCGCACTGTAAACATATGCTCCAGTTTTTAAGCGACTTTAGAACTTCCTTAGTTTCATTCTGGGAGGTTAAAAGGGTTTCTTGCCTTTTTTCGTTTCATTTCATTATTTCTATAATCTTCAAGTGGTGGAAGCTCCGGTTTTATCTCTTTAGGGTCAGGATATCGTTAGAGAACGAAACGAGGTTCTTCTGTTCGTTATTCTGAGATCCATAAAACCGTGCCTGTCTCATGTACATAATATTTTCATTTCACAGGGATGTGCAGATATTCGTAATTTCAGTGTTGGTCTCAAAAAGTGTACTGGTCAGGTGATTGGAACGAGTCCGTTATGTTTTCACCTGTATATTCTTCTGGTTGGTATTAGTACTTGTAGAATAATGGAACCTTTTGTTCCATTTATTAGAGAGATCGAAACTTTGAATATTTGTTTAAGTGTTTATTATCTCTATTTAGTATTCATTACCAATCTGAATATTGTTACAGGAGGTGAATTTCAGGAGGAGTGCATGTGCCACATCCGATGTTCATGTCCCTCCAGGGTGTCCCTAATGCTTCACGCATGTCATATATCCCTGCACTTCATCCTTTCCCATTTCCTTCCTTCACCGCAAACACTTTTCCAACACTACATCGAAATGGAGTTTTGGTGGGGCATTACAACAGTGAATGTCCACCTCAACCCCGAAAGTTATTTATTGGTGGTTTGAGTCACGAAACTACCGACGATCAGGTATTATTCACATGCAGAAAATTTTTTTGGCCATTTGGGGATGAATAAGGTTTTTTAGTCTTATATTTGTTTATCTAAGAGCTTTATGTTGAAGCTACGACAGTATTATTCACAATGGGGTACTGTGGTGGACTGTATAGTTATCAGGGATCCACAAACAAAGTACTCACGAGGGTTTGGATTTGTTACATTCGCAACTATACAAATGGCTGAGGCTGCTATGGCTGACCGACCTCACACGATAAACAACAAGGTATCCATTTGCTGTTAGACGAAGCTTCGGAATTGTTCTCCACAATTATTATTGAGTCTGGTTCTATGCTTATGTTTAAAGTGCTTTAAAATACTTTTTTTAGGTGGTTGATCCAAAGCGCGCTATACCTCGTGAACAGATGTCACCCCTCCTTCCAAATCATCCTCCATCATTCCTGGAAATTGAACCTGATCCAGGATGCAAGTTATCCTTGTCAGGTAAAATTTTCTTTGAAGAAAATGAAAATGACCAATATTCTTTGATGTCACAAATGTATGTGTCTTCTTAGTTTTTAAGATATTTATTTCAGGAATACATTGGGCATGGCATACGGTTGATGACTTACGACAGTACTTTGACAATTTCGGAACTGTAGAGCAAGTTGAAATTTTGGGCAATCCTAGAGGACTAGGTTTTGTTGTTTTCGAAAGCAAATCTTCTGCAGATAAGTGTTTGGAACATGGGAAAATCCACATAATCAATGGCCAAAAGTGTGAAATTACCGTAAGTTTAATGCGATTTTATGTGCTATTGTTTATAAAATATTTTTGTTTCGCTTTTGAGAATTTTGGGCTCGATACGTGGAAAAATTTCCTAAATAATTGGAAAACTGTTTTTTTTTCTTTATAATAAAATGATCTATTAAGCAAAAATTTGTCAGATTCTTGAAAATGATATATTAAATAAAAACTAGGTATTGCTTGCCAGATTCTTCTGTGCGTAACCTGAATTTGTTTTACAGCGCAATCCAATTGAACATTCCATCTATCAGCGCAATGATACGTATGATGGTAATGATTCAGAAATAGTCGACGAGCAAGTTGATTCGGCTAGTGCAAGTGGACATGAAACACCTGGTGACAGCTCCATAAAAGCTCTGGAGAATGGTTTCGCAAACAATTTGAATTTCGCCGAAGCGGAGAATGTTTGCACTTCTTGTGATGCTGATGCTACTCAAAAACTGAAAGAAAACGCGATGAATACGAAAATTGTCAAACTGCCAAGAACAGAGAAGGAGGATGTAAATGGGAAATCCATCAAAGAGGCAGAGGATGAAAAGAATGCGAATGAAAAACATAATAAAAAGATCCCAGTAGTGAAAACTGATAAGAAGATTAAGAAAGCAAGTAAAAATTAAAAAGTGCTAGTTCAGGATATATGGCGGTTTATTCCATTTTTTAATGTTTGAAATATTGAAAGCTTTTCTGCATATCATTCTTTGTGGTGTTCTGCATTCTGTCTTTATAACTCTGCACGTACTTTTTTCAATTACCGGAACTGCTACTTGGTTGCCTTATTACCAGTAATACTGTACTTGAAGAGAATTCGCAGATACTGGAAATTTTCATTTGTGTGTGATAGCTAATATTTTTTCCCTTTTTATATGACAGCTCTTTTTAAATTTTCTTGTTTTTATAAAATTAAGTTAGCAGTTGCCATTATATACAGTTTTAGGCTTGGTGCATAGCCGATTTTATTCCTACGGGGTTTAATAACCATTGAAAAGTGTATGACACCTATCTCTAAATATTCTTGCTCAAATTATCGCGCTTCATAAACATTTTGCTATTTGAGATTTACATGCAATCACAGTTGCTTATCCGTTAATTTAATCTCACTAATTTTCCTCGTATGTCGTGATATTTTGTTCATTTTAATTTCACCATCCGAGTCGAATTTCGCTCTTTCATGGATGACAGTGTACATACACAGTTTTATGTTATCATTCATATGAACAATGTTCATTATCCTAATTTTTTCAATCATTAATTCTATGAAATATGTTTCAGTAGTAGCCAATTATTATACCTCAATCTTTTTTCTGTTCATAAATCTGCGAATTCGTGAATTATTTTATCGGGAGGTAATATTCCGATTTTATTTGAACAAGCAAAATTTATGAAAATCCTAAAATCTGTGAGCTTCAAAAGGAATGCTTTGCAAAATATTTGAAATAGGAAGCAGATTGTTTCTTTTCCCAAGTTTTTTTATCCCTTTATTGAAAGCAGGTTTCTTTAGGCGTACCTGTTGTTAGTGTCTTGTTCAGCAGTGCAATCAATGTACGGACTGGGTGCCATCTTTCACATTTTTTATGAATATCAGGTTATGGTGTGATAGTCAACAATAAATTGTTATCGGATATAGTGTGTCGTTCTTGCAGTTAACCTTTTCCCAACTTTCGCTTTTCATAAATGATCATTCTAGTTTCAGGGACTTTCGTTCTCCTTTATTTGGAAGAGTCGCAAGTGCACCAAACGTACCAAACTACCTTTCACACCAATTTGTTCGCAGTGCAAATTGTTCCCTTTAATTAAGATCCATTCGGCTTGCCCATTGTAATCCATTGTTGTTTCTAAAGATTTTCTTTGTGCAGTTTTATTTCAGCTAGAAGCTGGTGATATTTTTTGTGATAACTAAATGTAGCGTTTGATGGATACTTTCATCGATCTTATTTATTCTAGTGTTTTGGCCTTTTGTTTAGTACGTCTTTGCATGACTTTTGCATTTTCCTATGCAGAATTCATGTTATGTGCTATCAGTAGTATTACATTTTCACTTAGGATTTTACAAGTCTTTACAGCGGTAGAGATTTGATTGTTTTGGGAAAAGGTGAACTCAAAACAAATCATTGTATTTTTGATACGAATCACTAAAGATGATGAATTAATTGTTACTTGAACAAAGGAATAAAAAGTGGTTAAAGGATGTGAGTCTGGTTCAAAAGTTTCCCCGTTCATTTGTCTTCATATTTCAGGGTTTCATATTCTGAGGAATACAAAGCATGCGTGAAGTTAAATAATGATGGTAAGAGAAGAAATGATGTTTCTCTCATGAATTTACTCACATACTTGTCCGTAATATCCGTTATGTTTCACGCATACACAACGTACGCACACGGACAATAAAAATAACAGAGAGAGGGGTACACATACACTGGTAGACTAATGCAAATAGTAGGCTTGCATAATAACTGATGTGATGTGTTGATAGAGTTGTCATACTGGTAGTGGCTAACTGAATTATAAGAATGAAAGGCTTAGGTATTCATTCATAAATCGTCGCTCCCAGTCAGTTGAAAAGTAACTGATTGTAATATTTTGAACAATGCATGAGTCCCGTGCGGAACATTTCCAGCGTCCTGTAAATTACCACAGTGAAGATTAGCTTGCACCCAATTTCATTATACCGGACTGAATTGATGGTGATGATCCCGGCAGTATTATGAATGATACTTAAATCCTATAGGCAACGGATAGTTTCTGATTGGTCAATTTCAGATCACCGTTATTGTCGTAACTCTTCATCCTTACAAACAAGGTGCATCCAGTAAAACTAATACTTTGGAAAATCAGTAAAAGCATTACGTTGGGAATAGGATAGAATGATTGGTTTCTTTGAATGAGAATTGCACTCTGAGGGATTCCTCCTCATCTATTATAAACGAAATGATTATTCACCTGACAACACATAACCGATCAGCTCTTTCAAAATTAGCGCGTACCAATTCATAATATTGACCATCAGATAGTACTACCGAATGCAATTTCAAGCACTTCAGTCGAAGAGTATCGATAAATTTGCTAAAGCATAATAGTAGTACTAAAGTCTTTCATTCTTCGAGATGCAGACATCAAAATTCAACTGAAATTATGGAAAAAAAAAGAATCAAATGATGGGAGTGCTAAATAATATGGATATTTAAGTATTTCACCTCGATTTGTCACTGAATCGTAAAGTTCCATCATCCCAGCGAATTTCAAGACGACATAGCTTTGGACAGTTTTGCGCAATACTATCAATAAATTGATCAATATGAATTTTCGCAAGTACTTTTGAGCAGCAGTCTTCCGCCGTTCCCATGACAAGCACTCTGCGAAATTTCTTGATATATTTGAATTTCAAAACATGTTGAAAAATCTCAGTGAAAATACATTTACAAAAATTGATAGCATAGAATTTTAATAAATTGTAAGCTGCAGTAAGAATCGTTCACAAGTATCGAATTGACCTGCAATAAATTTAGATGATTATGCCGAGCCAAAAAAAACTTACTTAATGTTTTTAAGCTTTGGGATCATATTTGTCCAGAAATACTCCAGTAATTTATGATGTCCTCCTAAATTTAAGCCCAGTAATTGGTTTCCCATTCTGGATATGAGATCGGTTAATGACGCTTCATTCAGTGAATCGCAGGTGTCTAAGTTAAGATACTGCAAATTTACAATGGAGTCCGAACCCAGCCAGGCTTCTAGAACCTGAAACATGAGCTAATAAATGTTTTGTGATCCTGATTATGACCTACTTTCTGTTTTGATGGAACCACTGACAAATAATATTGCACAAAATGTTACTTCATGAACTCACCTGGTCATTCATGTTTTCCAACCAAGACGCATCAAGCCAAGTGAGATGTTTTAGTCGAGTTAAGGTACTGATTAATGCATCACACGATAGTTCAGTACCACAGATATTTAGCTCTTCGATGTATGTTTTTTCCCATTCGATAGATTTTATGATTTCACTGTCAAGCGCTGAAGTTTATTTCAATTAATGAATTGCGTTTATAGTGGCTTAATTTCTACACTTTAAAGTGAGATCGCTATTAATCGCTCCAGTAACATTCCTATCATTTAGTTTTGCAATGTTCCAAAACCTTATTTATGTGGGACTTATTTACACACTAACTTCTAAAGAAAAACATTCCATTACAAGAGTTACATCAGTACATCAAGATATATTCCTGGAAGCTTCATGTGAGCCGAGAACATACCTATTAGTACTCGTCCTATTAGTCATCTAAGGTCAAACAGCTGAAAGCTGTTTGACCTTAGATGACTAATAGCCTTAGGTGACTAATAACGAGAAACTAATAACCTAACGAGAAAGCTACCCAATGATGTAAATTAATTACTCATGATAAACCCACTTGCGTGAGCGAGAAGAAGACTCCTAAGTTTCCTGCAGCGTTGCAAAACGAGTCGGAGGCAAGATCCAGTAACTTTCGTGCAATAATTTATGCAGAGGCATTCTAAGTGGGCGCAGTTGGATGATATTGATTCGACATGTTCGTCTGTTATGAAAGGCACCTGAAGTTTTTGTTTACTTCATGTAAACTTCTTTGCATCTCTTTCACCATCATTTAATTATCAGTTGTGGAAATTTCGAGGGACTGGGATTGAGAGAGATGAAAGACTTCAAAAAATGAATCTTGAGATTTTTAAAATTAATAAAGCAAAATATAAATATATAAATAAACTAACACCCCAAAAGTTAACAACACGAAGATTCGGTATGTACTGTTTTAATTTATGTATATTCACTGTCTCATAAACTTCTTCTTCTTCGTCTTCTATCTTTTCATACGTTCCTGTAAACGCTATCAAAATCCTGAACCGATTATGATTATTAAAGGAAAGAGGGATTTGGTATGAAAAGTTGATGAAATCATTACTTCAACTATTTGACTTAATGTGATCCAAAATTTTTTAATTCAATGAAAAAGGTTATATCAGTGATTTTATAAGTAAAGTTGTTGTGAAAATAAAATATGTTAACTACCAATGATTTGGAGCACTTCCATAGAAGAGATGAATGTGTAAACTTTCCTCAAAAATCCTTCCAGGAAAATGTTACCACTCAAACATATTGTTAGCGAGCGTAATCTGCTCGGAAAACTTTGCAAATCCGAGAAGTCGTGCAGCTGCATTGCTGTTGAAAAATCTGTGAATGAAATGGAAAAATGGATCATAGGAGGAATACCTATGTATTTTAATTTAAAGATACACTCATAACTTCAAAACAAGTAGGTCAGACTAAACGGTGCTGAATTATAATGGATCAAATGCCTTAGAAATTTCAAACAAAACAAGGAGACTTTACTAAGTATTACGGTGATCACTAAGTAATTTGAACCATGGTATCTTCTTAATTAGTGAGAAGATGTAAGACCATGAATTTTCTTACCATTAAGAAATGCTATTCTGAATGATCAGATGAACCTGGCAAATTTAATATTGACTGCATTTACTAAACTTTCCGAAAATTTGCTCCATTCTCACCAATTGAAAAAGACTGGATTAAATCATTAAAAAAAGAAGTTTTACCTAATGTCATAGACCAAAGCTGGGGACATCGAGC